CATTAGTTGAATTAGGTGCTGGTATAAATTTAATTTCTTATTCTGTTTTTTCAGAGATTGGGGCAAGGAGATCTAAAACATACATAAGTCATTCTTCAGCAAGCGGACCGTTCTGTTACTTATCCTCGGGGGATCATTGAAGATTTAATTATCAATGTTGACAATTTGTATTTACTAGCAAATTTGGTAGTTTTGGACTCAGATGAAGATTTGCAAACACCGATTATTTTGGGAAGACCATTTATGCCCACTGCCCGAACATTGATTGATGTGGAAGCGGACACTTTAACATTGAGAGTTTAAGACCAATCTATGGTTTTTAGCCTATTTGAAGCTGCAAAATGCCCAGAAGATCAGCAATAATGTATGCAAAAATTAGAAGGTGTTATTCATGCAGAAACTATGACCAAATCGACATCAGATTCGTTATTGAGTGTTTTACATGGTCCAGATACAGCACAAACAGAGGATGAATAAATTTTTGAGTATGTAACAACATTAGACAGTGTACCAGCCTAATTACCCCGTTGGAGACATGTTTACGAAAGTCTTGGATAGCCAAAAACACCCTTGCAACCTTCTAAATTGTAGCCCCCAAAACTGGAGTTAAAACCATTGCCAGAACATTTAAATATGCACATCTTGGGGCAAATGAAACGCTGCCAGTTATCATTGCTTTAGATTTGACAAGTACGGAAGAGGAAAAATTACTGCGTGTTTTAAGAAAATACCAAGATGCTTTGAGGTGGACTATAGCTGATATTAAAGGTATAAGTCCAGTAATTTGCATGCACAAAATATTGATGGAGGATGACATAAAGCCTATAGTAGATGCTCAAAGGAGGTTAAATCCTATCATGAAAGAAGTTGTGCGAAACGAAGTAATGAAACTACTTGATGCAGGCATGATTTATCCAATTTCTAAGAGTAAATGGGTTAGCCCTACACAAGTTGTGCCTAAACGGACTAGTATTACAGTGGTGAAAAATGATAATAATGAGTTAGTTCCTACACGATTGACTATGGGTTGGAGAATGTGTGTAGACTACCGGAAGTTTAACACAAGGACAAGAAAAGAACATTTTCCATTGCCTTTCATTGACCAGATGTTGGAAAGGTTGGCTGGGCGTGCTTTTTATTGTTTTCTTGATGGGTATTTTGAGTATAATTAGATTCCAATTGCACCAAAGGATCAAGAGAAAACCATTTTCACTTGTCCATTCGGTACTTATGCTTATCGGAGGATGCCATTTGGGTTATGTAATGCACCCGCCACATTTCAATGGTGCATGAAGAGCATATTCTCAGGTTTGGTTGAAAAGATTGTTGAGGTATTCATGGATGATTTCTCAGTTGTTAAGGATAGTTTTGATCTTTGTCTACACAATTTATCTCAAGTTCTTGAAAGATGTCAAGAAACAAACTTAGTGTTAAATTGGGAGAAGTGTCACTTTATGGTAAAGTAAGGCATTGTTTTTAGGACATATTGTTTCAAACAAAGGAATTGAAGTTGACAAGGCAAAGATTGATGTTATTGCCAAGTTGCCTTATACTGGAATCATGCACACCACAACAAGTCTACATTAACATCACCACATCTACCCTATGCTAGAAGTCAAAGCAATTAACATGAGCTCACTCAAAGATGCAAGTTTGGGGGTAGCTGTTGCAGATCCAGCACAAAACCATAATTTTGAGCAGTTAATCTTTTTTTTGCCACTTTGTTTTGTGATGTATGGATGAAAACACACTTAACTTACATATCCATACACCACTAAACTGAGTATAGCTACTACTACCAAATCTACAATAACAAAACTTGCAGGGATTCGAACTTATACCTATGAGATGCACGGATCTGGGGTCCTCAGGGCCTTTTGCTGTGTTTGTCCTTTGAGTTTGTGTGTTTACTGCCTTTCCCTTGAATCTCTCCTGGCTCCGCATACCCTACACAACGAGCATCAATGTGACTACATGTAGGGATATAGACCCAACATCTATACAGATCAAGACCCAAAACAAATTCTGGAGTTAATCTTACCTTCATACGAATATTGGATCTTGAGATGTCCGGGCTGTTCACATCTTTTATCTGTGCACCAAGGCCACATTGGGGTTCCTGCACATACCAGAACAGAGAATTACCCCGAATATGTTTTTCATGAACCAGATTATGTCTCACGTCAATACTCAATGTTGCGAAGAGTAAGGATGAGTGTTTCTACATCCCAGATTCATAGATTGAACACTTTAAGATGTCTCTTGCATTCTCTTAATGGATCTGAAGTGTTGGGAACTTTGGGGTGAAGCTGCTACTATAGACTTTCTTCAGTTTCTTCAATAGAATTCATAGGTTTTGCTAGTAGCTGTTTCAGTAGGATAGTGAGCTCTTGAGAGAAATGGAGAAGAGAGCGGGTGACGATGGGTGGTTTTGAAATGCGAGAAATCAACAATGTTTTTTCTGATTTTTTGCACATAGAGAGAGGCTCCGGTTTTTTCACACCAATATTATTATTATATAATAATATTTGTGTTAGGAGATGCTTTTCTGATTTGCAATAAGAGAGGCGAGCAATAAGAGGAATGGGCAGAAGAGAAAGGTTGGCTTTGGGCTTGAGGCTAGTGCAAGGAATCCTATACGTGTTCAAGAACAGATAGAATTTTTCCATTGACAAATGCAGCTGCTATACCATTATATTGTAGCTATTGCTTGGATTTTACACACGTGTGAACTTGTACGTGTTGTCAGCACGTCTTTGCAAATTCGCAGCTCCCAGCTCCTGCCTTCAAATCCCCAAGGTGTCCAATTTCCGGGTATTTTCTTTCCTAGTTTATTTTCTTTTATTGTTTTTCTCATTTTCTTTCCTAGTTTACTTTCTTTTATTGTTTTTCTCATTTTCTGTCCTAATTTATTTTCTTAGGGTATTTTCTTTATCTTTGATATTTGGTCTCCATTTTCTAGGATTTAGTTGTTTTGTTTCTGTTCTTATTTCTTATGTTAATGTTCCACACCTTGAGGGCAATGTGTGATTTAAGTTTGGGGGTGGGAAAATAAAATTTAGATTTTTAATTTTTGGGTCTTGTCTAGAATTTTCGTTTTTAAGTTAATATTCATAGATTATTTTAAACGTTAGAACAAATGGACATGGTGAAAATTAATCCCACAATAGAGTCTTTTCTATTTATTGTTGCTTAGACATTAATTCATGAATTATACTTTGAAATTTGCACATCACACCAACATGGTTTGTGGGGAGTGAGATTGAAATACGTACCTTTTGTCTAAGTGTGTTTCAATTTTTGTTCTATATAAGATAAAGTTAGTATGTGTTATAAAGTAATAATTGTCTCACCCAAGGCTTTGCCTAGTAACTGAGCCAGTCCTACCTAATTAGCAGTGATTCTCGTGTTAAACAATAGAGTTTTGGTATGGGGCAGGGTAGTTAGTTGGTTTCGTAGCATTTTCAGTTTGAGTTAATAAGTCCTTAGGGGTGTTCTACACCTAGTGCCTTAGAACCATTGTGGTTTGGGAGACATTGACCTAAAGCTCGCTACACGGGTTGAATTGAAAGATTAAGGGAACCGACATTGCACGACCACTACTGTTACTCCAAAAAAAAACAAAAAAAACAAAAAAAAAAAAAAAAAAAAAAAAAAAGAAGAAAGAAGAAAAAAGAGAATGATTATATAAGTATATGAAGTATGAATAAAAGGGATGAGAGGTAAAGGTTTTAGTCGAGTCTCCTAACTATGATGGTTCACTTTACACCGAAGGAAGTTTGTGAATTCTTTTCTAATTGATTCCAAATAGCTTAGACTTTGTAGTGGGATTAGTTGGATCTATTGAAAAGATGTTATAATTTTTAAAATTTGCTATGGATTGCAACTTGAAGGTGGAAGTGTTGACTTGGTTAAGTGTTAGTCAGGTATCCAGTTTGTTAAGTTTTTATTTTTGTATGAGTCTTGTTTTGCCTGAGGACAAGCAAAGAGCTAAGTTTGGGGGTATTTTGATGAGTCAATTTTATATTATATATTTAACCCTATGCTAGGTGATGGTGATACCCTAGTGCTTTTTATAAATTGGTATTTAAAACTCTTTCCTTCAATCATAATTGTTTTTGTTTAAAATTTATTTTTAGTATCAAACAATTTCATAATCATCTTTCTCAACTTTTAATTTTGGGTAGTTAATTGGAAATTATTTTTACATATATTGCTAAATAGTCCTTGAGCAGAACGACCTTGCATGAGCATCCATATTACAATAGCCTTGTATTCTTGCAAGTATTTTATGTGATTTTAACCTTATTTGCATAGGTACTCAAAATCATATCAAGAGGGTGTAAAAGAGGTATATAATTTAGATACAAGGGTGAGTTTGGGATTAACTGTTCAACATTATTTGTACAAGTTTATCTTACTTAAAGGGGTATACTCTTCGTGACGTAGGAAATTTTTTTTCGAACCACGTATAATTTGGTGTTATCTTGTGTTTTTCAATTTGACTTATTTATTAGGCTAAATTGTAGCAATGGTCCTTGTACTAAGCCCCAACTTTACTTCTCGTCCCTCACATTGTTTTGTTGTTACCGTGGTACTTTAATTAGATATCATAGTGCATCATTGGTGTTTCTGTCAATTTAGTTAAATTTTCTGCCAAAATTAAGGGCAACTTGGGAAATTCATAATATTTATTCTCTCTCTCTCTCTCTCTCTCTCTTTCTCTCTCTCCCCCACTTCCCCCAACCCCAGCACCCACGAATTGGGGAATTGAAACAAATAAATTGGGTAGAAATTCTTGTTTCGTTGAAGGGGGAATAGTAAGAGTATCAGTATAAGAGGTATTACAAATTGGGCTTCTTTGTGGCTGGACCCTTTCTCATTCTCATTGGAAAATTGGGATGGACCCTTCTTTGTGGCTTCATTCAAATGGGAGTTTTGGGTGGATTTCTTCTCGAGGCTTCTGCTGTTGGAGGATCTAGCGTGAGATGTGTGCAAGAATGCGAGAGAGTGGGTTGGCGTTGGAAGTGCTTGGGTCGAAGTGTCCCAGGCTGAAGGTGCTTAAGCTTGGGCAGTTTCATGGGATTTGCTTTGCGATTAGGTATGAGCTAGACGGCATTGTGTTGTGTTCAGGGCTGGAGTCATTGTTGATCAAGAACTCGGCTGATTTGACAGATAGGGGGTGATTGAGATCGCTAGAGGGTGTTGCAAATCACTTCCCCCGCACCCACGAACCCAGAACCCTCTACCCTAGCCCAGAGAGAGAGAGAGAGAGAGAGAGAGAGATTTGATTTATTTATATATTTTTTGTTTGAAAAGACATTTTTGCCCATGCCAAGTAGGAGTTGTCATTGCCATGTCATCATTTTTAACGGAAAAGTTGACAGAGATGACGGAAAGCATGATTTCTAAAACTGGAGGCATAATTAAAGTACCACGATAACAACAAAACAATGTGAGGGACGAAAAGTAAAGTTGTGGCATAATCCAGAGACCATTGCTACAATTTAGCCTATTTATTATTATTTTTTCATCATTGTTAAAATTGTCGTGATGAGGGGATTAAATTCTCAACATTTTCTAAATCTATTTACTTCCCCACTAGGAACGTGATATTCGGATTTCCAATAATCCCCAAATTTGCCAATTTGGAAGCCATATGGAATTTTAAATGCCACATCAACTTTCTCATCAAAATTGTTGGCAATAAAGGCCTACTATAACACCCGTCATGAAATTATCCTTGAAGTTTGAACTTTCAAATAATTTGGACAAAATGCTCTCAAATTTTGTGGAAATCCCAGTAAAATAATATAAAATAAGCCTTCTAGATTTCATACTAGCATGGTTAGGTAGCACTCGAGCCTATGACGCGCAAATGCAAACTGTTCGTAAAAAAAAGTTAAAATAGGAAAGTTATGACCTTTTGAAGTTGAGGGGTACTATAGTAATTTACATGGGTGAAATTTAAACAAAAAACGGCCATTTCTCTCTCCTAAAAACTGTCCTTTCTCTCTCCTCCACCCCATATGAAATGTTGACTGGCCATAACTTTGTGATAAAATCATACTAGCCCCTGAGCACACCCACGTGCCAATTGGTTTTCTTTTTTTCTTTTTTATTTTATTTTTAAAATTAAGAAAAGATAACATGGGTATTTATATTCCATAAAAGTATGACCTATTATCTGATTTTGTTTTTAATTTTAATTTTTTTAATATGAAAAAAGTGAATTTACCATGTTATCCTCATTTAATTAATAATTTCAAATTTTAATGTTTAAATTAAACAAGGGCATTTTCTGGTATTTTGAATGTTTCACCATTCTCTGTCTGCTTTATATAGATAAGGCCAGAGGTTACCAACTTGTCTTAACATCTTTTTTCTTTTGGTACAAGATTCACATGCTGAATTCATTTGTGCATAAAGTTTAGGTTCCTAATGTTTGACGTATTCCTGTAGCTTTTTGTCCATTTTAGCTAATTTCAACCATCCCCGAGTAAGGTAAGTGCTCAATCTCTTTATCTCTTGAAGCTTTCGGTTTCGAAGGACTTGTGTGAGTGTTTTCAACCCATATATGCCTCTACAGCTTTAGGGGTTAGTTTAATCAAATGTTTCTTATCGTTTGGGTGATATGGTTTGAGCAATTTCAAAGAGATCCAACTAAGTATCCATTTTAGCATAATAGCATTGTTGAAAAATTTTCATTTAGTTGACATAAGGCTTGATCCTCACAAATCTACATGATTTAGGATTGATGCATATTTACCATTTTGCAAATACATAAACTTGGTTGATTTGTAATCTAATGTTCTAATCTTGTTATGCAAAGGGAGAAAGGGTTTACAAGGTTTTGGCATATCTTGTTTATTTCAAACGTTTTGACATAGTCTTTATGCATCATGGTGAATGAAATGACAAAGTAACTTTAAGAATAAGTTCTATGAAATGCTTTGTGAGATAAATTAAGATAAATAATTTTAGGCATGTGGGGCGGCAGACATAGGAGCTTTGGGTCCTGTCAAAATGCCTAGTCCTTTGGGGGAAGTCTATGCTCGTATATGACCGTATTATTTTTGTTTACACGTGCATTGAGATTACTCTAACATACATGTATCAAGAATATTTTGCATGTATGTATGGCCATCATATCTTGCATCTCTGTGCGATGAGCTCAACACAAGGTTATGACCAACTTTTCCCCTAGGTACTAGGTTATGACCAACTTTTCCTCGAAATTATTATCAGTTTATTGAGTTTTGAAATAATTCTATTACTTTAGTTTTAAAAATATTTTTGGGCGTTTCTGTTAAAAGAGTTTGTGAAAGTTGGGAGTTAGTATGTTCAACATAAGTATTTTTAGACCTAATGAAATTTATTTCACAGTTTGTTTCTCTATTTTTCGCATCAGGCCATAGATGACTAAGGTCACATAAACGGCACGTCGAGACTTCCTTATCCACCAATAATCGGTTGATTTGTAGAATTCGAGCCTTTAAATTTTCCTCATTAAAATTTTTTAGTTTGGATGTATACTAGATTATGCTCTCATTTGCCCGTTATGCCTTAGCCTAGGGTGACTAAAATTTGATGTTTATTTTGGTTTGAGGGTCTATGACTCGTTTTGGATTCTTGATTTGTTGTTGGAGAGGTTATGCTAAGGACACGAAGTCCTCTTGTGATGATCTTAATTGTTGTTGTCGAACTATAGAAGTGTGTTCTAAGACCCAGAACGAAGGTCTAAATAGTAACCACAATCTGCTGGCCTCCCTATCTTAATCCCTCAAAACTAGACTATAACGCATTCAGTTCTTTATATTTAATAACTAGAGACTCAACTAAAATATGTTGGTTTTTCCCGTCAACTAATATTTTTCTATATGTTATATTTATTCAAATTGCAAAGGTTAGACTTTTGTTTAGACATGTTCGCAAAAATCAGACTCAAAATCTCCTTTCTTTCTTTTTTTCCTTTTTTATACGCATCAATTACAACTTTCAAAATTTGCGATCAAAGAAAATATAGACAACCCCCAAAAAATCAGATTCGAAATATTTATTTTAATTTTAATAGACATCAATTACAAGCATCAAAATTTTCAACCAAAGAAGAAGATGAATTTAACAATTAAGGGACAGAAAAACATGGAATGGAGTGGCGGTGATGAGGGAGGAGGAGTTGAGAGAATAAAGGCAGATGCGCGTCAAAATGGAGTTGAGATGCGATAAAGAGCGTATAAATATTGTAAAATAGTAGTTATTTAAATTAACTAAGTTACATTTGTTTTTAAAAAAAAAAACCAAAGAGAACTCAGGCGTCAACTTGACAGTGATTTATGCTATCACATCTAGGGGTGTGCACAATTTCAGGTTAAGCCGATCGAACCGTCTAATCTGATCATTAGAGTGTTGGGTTGAGTTAGGTTGGCTTAATAATGAAATTATCTTGAGTCCAAAAAATCATAAACTGCTATGTATGGATTAGGTTATGAGTTGTAACCAAAACCGACCCAACTCAACTCATGCCCAGCCCTAATCACACCTTTGGAGAAATGTATATATATTTTTTTAAATTTCCTATATATATGGACAGATTCAAAATTTTTTGTGCCATTTAGATTGTTGGACTTTGTTCTTGTGTCTTACGTATTCTGGGCCGAATCGGCACTGATAATAAGTTCTTGTTTGATGATTTTTAAATTTTTTATATAATGGACTAATTCTTAATGTAATTTCCAAAAATAGAAGGATTACTTCTAATTCGACTAAACCTCAAGAAACCTCTTGTAATATTTTTTTTGTTACTTTTGGGAAAAAAAAGGGAAGAAAAAAGAAAGAAAAAAGAGTGTAAGTAACAGTTTTGGATAGGGAAGCAATGTTCACGTGGGACGAATTGCCACGATAGTAACCATGTGTCCTTCCCTCTTCTGAAAACCTTGGTGCTGCCCTCTGATAAATTATATACGTGTGTATGTAGCAAAACAAAAAGCCCAATTTCCCAATTTCCCAATTTCCCAAACGCTATAACCCCTCTTCTTCTCCTTTTGGGATATAAATTCACTCTCTTCTTCTTATCAATCGATCAGACCAGAAATCCCTCACACACAAAGAGGGAGACAACAAACCCTTTTGCTGGTTTCTTCTTCTTCTGATATCATCAGAAGATTCTCAGAGCCTTAGCCATGGGGAAGAAGAGAAAGTCCATAGCCACCAGCCTCGACGAGGTGGATCGAAGCATGTACACCTCCTTCTGCAGCGCCGCTAATTCTCTCTCTCAGCTCTACACTCAGGCCATGAACCACCAAAAGCTCTCCTTTCAAGCCGGTGAACGCCACGCCCTCGTACGCCTCTCTTTCTCTCCTTTATCATCTTCTTAATTGTTAGTTGTTAATCTAATGGCAGATTCCCTCATTCAGTTCTTGATTCTTAATCAGGATCAAATTAAAGTTGGTCCCTTTTTTTTTTCTTTTTTTTCCCAAATTGTTAGAAATTTGGGGATTCGTATATTTTGTGGTTCATGAGTTGGTGTGTGTTTTGTTTGGTTATGAATTGGGTGAATATTAGTTCGAGTGAGCATGTCATATGAAGTTGGTTGGATAAGAAATGCCCAAATTTCTCATTAGTATCTGTCGGTAATGTAATGAATATCAATATTCAACTTGTGCAAAGTGCTTAGATAATTATTGGGGAGTTCCAATTATTCATGCATTGTTTTAGTTTATGATTAAATTGGATGTTTATATCTTTAAAAACCCTAAATATTAGATAACATGATTGATTCTTATCACCATGTAAACAAAAGATATTTCCTTCCTCTCCGAACAAAGTTAGTTGGATTTAAAGTCACTAAATTTTCGTCATTCTTGCTGCTATTCTGATGCTGTTTGGCATAGAACTTCAAGTGGGAAATATTTCTAAACTTTGATATCTTTACGGGTTTGTATTTTGTCTTCACTACTCAATGATTTGTTCCATTCTTTTCTCCAACTGATTGGTTTGGCCTTTTTCTTTTAAAAGATGGGGTATGTCTCTACTCTCTAGAAAGTTGGACTCCACTATTTTTGTGTATGTTGAACCTTCATCCTTTCTCTGACAGTTATCTTTTTGGTACATGGATTTGCCTTCAATAATTTTTTCCTCATTGCATATTTCTGGAAAGGTCTCTCGTGAACTGGCTGAAACCAGCCTAGGCTTGTGTGGCTTTTTCTGAATTTAAAAAATTTGTTAAATATGTTATTTTCCGTTAGTTCATTGAGGGTGCCGGGTTTCTCATGCTTCTTTGTGCTTCCCTGTTCAAAATTTCATTTACTTTCTGTAGCTTGTAGCCCATTAGGCAGTGGGTCTACAAAGTTTCTGCAAATGCCTTATATCCTTGTTTAAAATCTTGTACATACATACTTGTCCTGTTAATGTGTAAAATTTCTTTCAAACTGGACTACATTTTTACATTTTATTAATGGAACCTTGGTTAAATATGTCTTTTCAGGATAAAATTTATCAGTGGATCAGTAGACAACAAGAAGGAGGCTCAAGAGTTACAACAGTGGATATAGTCAGTTATCTTCAGGTTTGTTTATTATTATTATTATTTTTGGTCTGAGTTTTATAGCGATTTATGATTCTGTCTTTGATTGTTTGTTTTATAATATGATAAAGTATCCCAAATGGACAGAAAGTATGCATGTCCACGCATACCCACACACACAAAATCACTTGTTTGACATGAAAAATTTGTGTAAAACAATAATGGGTCATACCAAAGTTAAATGCGCCTTTGTTCCAGAGACTATGAACAACAGGGTTAATTTTCTTGTAGCATCTATTTAGTAAACACCCTTTGCATCAAACATCTGAACTTTTATAAGCCATCAAATATACTAATTATTGCAGCTTATTTAGAGCATGTCACTGTCTCTCTTCCATATATTCCATCCCTCATATTTCTGTTACATTACTCAAATTTCATGTTAATTACTTTGAAATTTTCTCTTTGTTAAGACTGGATGCACTTGCATGTATGTTTTGGATTAGTGTAGAATTTATACTAGAATATATAAGGTTACTGTATCCATTGCCTTCTAGGTAGCATAGACTTGGATGTGGTTAGTTTTGAGTGTGACCTATTGTCACATTCAGATTTCACCCCTGTTGTGGTTGTGCTGAACTTTTGTGAGGGATTGCTTCCATTGTTCCTCAGTTGAAGAATTCCATGGTTCTTTTTTCGCGCAAAAGAAGGGAATGAAATCCATGGTTTGTAGATGCTGTGGAATTTGGCCAGAACTCATAATTTAATTGTTAAATCCGTTTGAAACTTTAGTCATTGCAGAGCTATATGCTTCTCACTTTTCAATTTTCACTTGCTCTTTCATGAGGTTTGCAAGGGAATACTATTCTACCCTTTAATATCCAGCAAATAAGAATCTGTGCTTAAGGTTCACACCTACAGTGGAATGTTTCCTTTTCCCTGATTTGTACTAATTTAAATTCACTTCTTGTGCTTCATTCCGGAGATTCTTCTCAGTTATGATTAAGATGTTGAAATAGACATGGATACGTGCTGAATAGAGAAAAAAACCAAAAAAAAAAAAAAAAAAAAAAAAAAAAAAAAAAATGTATGCAATGTACATTTCTATAAGATTAAATAAACTTAGATTATAGTCTTATGAGCTTAACCATTGCAGATGAAATGTGTCATCTTGATGTAATACAATATGTTGCATTAACATGATTTTACAGATTCTGCATGTTCAGGAGTCATGACTTTTTGCTTTGTGTGGCTTTTTTATTGTGATCATCAATGAATTAGTTCACTGATGAAGTGCTTTTGCAAACATTTTCAACATTGATTTGATCCTCTCCCTTTGAGTTCAAATGGAGAGATTTATTTGTTGCATTAGGGCATCAAGTCATTTTTAGTGGCCAAAAACAGGTTTCCGATGAAAAGATGTGCCTTTTGGAAATAGATGTTCTCAGTTAGATTTTATGACACTGTTTTAGCCAGTTTATCTGTCGATTTGAATTTATAGAACAAGGATTGTTGTGATACCAATTGATGTACAATAATAGGAGGAGAGAATAGAGGTTGAAGGGAAAAAGTGAGGTGAGTGTGGTAAACTCAAATACCTTATTGTCAGACGAATATGCTAGAGTAACCCCTAATATTAAAATCCTAAGAACAACAATAATAGTAATAACAATGACTATGACAACAACAACAACAACAACAATAATAATATTATTATTAATCTTATTAGTGTAGTGCTACATTCCTAAAGGTACATATTTAGCTATTGCTAGAGTTTTCTGTCTTCAAAAGATTGTAGGGATTGGCAGAGGCCCTAGTTTTGGAGCTGAGTCCAGGATGTGGGTTTGAGGGATTTCAGGTATTAAAAAAGATAATAATAGGGTTTAGTAATAGTAAAGTAGTAGTTGTGAATGAGATCAAAGATTGACAATTGAGAATTAGGATTAAAATGTTTTAAATCTTGAATCTAATTGTTCAAGATCGGTTACTTATTTTAGTTACTTTGCCTGGGGATGACAATAGTTCATCCATGTGTATATTTATTCGGTACGGACTTCAGTCATTTTTGCAGCTTACAAATTTCTTCTTGCCTTCATGCAGAATGAGTTGGACTATTGTGGAGAGGAGCAGCCGTCAATGTCCCCCAGGGTTCCACTTCAACATCAGCATCTTCAGCCCACTGTGCACTTCACAAACTCAGGTTTCCCAGTTTCTTCTGGCTCATCTGGCCCAACAAATACTGGGCAGGGAATTCGTTCTGAGCAATGTGATCACCAATCTAAAAATTCAGTCTTCTCAAATGCTCTGTCAAGCCCTGTTCGCCAGAGTCTTCAGCACTATCACATTTCTCAAGATGGATATTACCCAGGTGCAGGTCTGCCATCTGGAAATGGAGCCCGAAACAATGAACCTAGCTTTCTCCACCCGAACCGGGATGCTAATCCTCCAAGTTCCAATGATACCTCGATGGACATGCATGCAGATAGTCCTGGTCATGATTCTACCTACTAAAAGTTCTTGGACGGATGGCTGATCCAAGGATTCTTTGCCATAGGACGATTGAAAAGTCTTGGAAGAACCATGACAATACAAAGGTTCTCTTTCATGCAATTCCCAAAGTGAAGAAGGCACAACCTGGAAGTGGTAATGCAATCAATTCAATTTACTTGTCTTATTTGAGAAAAGCTTGGTCTTTTTCTTCTGTAACCATCTTTTTGGTACCTATCCTTCTGTTTCATTTTGTTTTACCAAAAAACCTGTGTTTCTATTAGGAATTGCTTCTAATGTTGAAAGACAATCTCTGTAAATGTATTGATTCCGCTTTTATATTATAAAGATTTCAGTCATTAAAATCAAGTTCATGATTTCCCTCCCGATGTTAGACATGAAAGGAATATAAACTGCAGATCATGAGTGTTGTGTTTTCTTGTCAGCATTTACAACATCTCCCCTAGCTGTACTATCAAGGGTCCAACTCGAATATAACCCGTTTGAGAAATAGGCTAAGTGGAATTGTTAGGTTAATCTAAAAACCCGTTAGCATGTTTTAATCCTTTTAATTAATTAAAAACATGTTCGGTAAAAAAATTCATTTTTCATTTAAAAAAGAAAAAAGAAAATTGGCTTTCGAAATCTTACTTATTTTTAAAACCAATTTCGAAGTGTTTTTAGTTTTTCAAACTTTTTGCCCAGCTTTCTCATTCACCAATTTTACATCATCATACATACAATGCGCTCGATTTACCAAAACTCGACATTCGGGACCTCCCGACTTATACCTAGCCGCTCGACTTTTGTGTCGCGGACCCAATCTTAGCCCTAGGACCTCCAGATCTAAAATTCACCAAACATTCATTCTAACTTCAAAAAATATGACGGACTCTTTTGAACATACACTTTCATTCTATAACTTGAAATTCACAATTTGACCAAAAATATATGTATCATTTCCAACATGAACATGAAATTAGTTACCTAACAACTTTTAAAGAGTAAAATTGGTTACCAAACAAGTTTCTTGTTTTCATTTTTTTTAATTATGAAAATTGAAAAATTGAAAATGAAATGGTTATCAAATGGGCCCTTAATAAATGGGTTGAATGGTTGATTTGAAATCCACAAATTTATTAATCATTTCTTAGCGTGATGACCCGAATTGGTCCCGAATTTTTTATCGTGTGGGTTGACATATACATATATAAATTTTGTGTGGATTTTGAGTCGTTTATGGGGTCATGTCGATAATTGCTACTCCTAGCATCAAGTTTTTAAATTAAAAAATATATATATATATTTGCAAGGGGCTTATAGCTCAAGTGTTTATGAGTAGTTACCTTTGTAACCAAGGTCCTATGTTCGAATACTCCCTACAACCCATCACTAATTTAGCCATAATGATGGCAACAATGAGAGGTTTTTCCGCACATTTTAGTTGATAAAAAAAGTTCATAATCTGGATTCTTTTAGACAAATATTTTTGAAAGATAACCTAAAATATAGACGGTTTCAATCTTTTAATTGCATTATATGATATCACGATGCATTTCTTAAAAGAACTCTTCAATTAATGTACATACATTCTACAATATCGTTGGTGCAATGGATAGAGGATCAATAATTTTTATTATATTTAGCTCTACTGTGTTTGCCCTTCCTATTACGTGAGATTGCAACAAATTTTGTTCCATAGATATTTTCACGCAATTCGTCTAAGATATTGTGACAATAGGATATTTATGAATTAAGGGTTGGTTTGATAACCATTTCTTAGTTTTTAATTTTTAGTTTTTGTGCTAGAGTAGCATAGAAGAAAATGAAAGTGAGGATGAGATTTTGAGAGAGAGTGAGAGGGGAGGATGAGAGGGAGAAGTGACAAAAGTAAAAACAAAATAATAAGGTGACTCGTATTTTACAGCTTGACAAGTGTAGTTGAGCTATCACACCTACCGTCTCGTGATCCTAGGGCCTCGGGTGAGCCCAAGGTGTTCGACCAACAATTGCTGTGTGTCTTTTTTTTTAGGGAGATTCACTATTATACCCAATATGAAGACCCAAATTATAAAAATACCCCATATGAAATGGACTTTATAAACACACCCAAAGCCTATTTACAACATAACAAATAGGCTTTAACTTCTTATAAATTACAAAACTACCATAAATTTCTTAAAACAAGCCCAACCCCAAAATCTTATAAAAATACCCAAAACACTCATAGGGCATTAAAGTAATTTAATAATCAATATTAAATTTAATAAGATCAGCTGTCATTTTTTGGGTTTTTTTTGGGTTTGTTTATAGAATTTCAATGGTGTAAGGTTTATTTATAATATTAGTGCTAAGAATGGGTATATCACTAAATATCTCTTTTTTTTAATGACCCAATTTTAAAAACTCACTAAAAATACCTCTGGACACCAAAAATGTTACAAACTCCTTGTACCACGTACTATCATTCTATAACCTCAAATTAATTATGACCTCTGGAAAAATTTAAATAGTTCTCCCAAGTAATTTAGTTGTAAAATAATAAATAATATCGGGAAAAATCCAAATAATTCCCCAGAAATTTCTAACATTCACCAATGGTAACTAACTAATAATTTTCACAAAATTTATCAAATAATCCATCAAAATAATTTAATTCTTATTAAATTCCAGAAAATTCCAGAGTTACACAAATGCAATAAAGAAGACAAATAAAGATGATAATAAGCATGTTTTATGAATTTGAATTACAAAGGGCACCAGAAAAACGAAGATAACGAAGGACACCAAAAACTAATACATTTTGAAATACCCAAAGTATAATTCAAGCATAATTATGTACAGAGTTTTGACCAAAAAAATCATGTACAAAATATGGTCAGAACGAATAGATATAAGAAGAATGGACATCCCTGATCTTTAGTTACACGGTGGAAACCTAGCGATGGCTTGAATTCATCGTCTTTTTTTAATAAAGGTCCATTCTTTGGGACTTACTTTAGTCTCCGATGACCATCCCTGCACTTGGCCTCCTTCTCACAACCTCTGCCATAAGAGTTGCTTGGAGGAGGTATGCAACGTGACCCCCAACAACTAACCAGTTGGTCGCGCCGCATGGCGCCATTACCGATTTGATTGGCATTTGTTGTTGCAACGCAAAGGGAAAACACAAAGGCCCCGTTTGGTTCATGGGAAAGGAGACTTGGGAATGATAAATCAATTGCTTTCCTATGTTTGGTAAGTCTAGGTATGGGAAATCGTTGCCTGACTCATAGGAAAGTAGGGGGAAAGTGAAGTCATCCTCCCAAATTGGGTTTTATTTTCCCTCTTCATGGGAAAGTTTGGGAAAATAAACTAACATTAAATACATATTTTTTATGACCATTTTATCCCTATTAACAATTTAGAGTTTCAATATATCATTAAATGCATTCTTTTTTTATTTGATTTAATATGGGTATAATTGAAAATTTATACAAAGTTTGTTTTCCATTCCTACTCAAAACAAACATAGGAAATGAAATAAAGTGATATTTCCCAGTTACTTTCCCAGCATTACCAAACGTGGGAAAGGAATCTTTCATTCCTATTTATTGGGGAATGACTCGGAAATGATTTCCCCTCAAATTCATTCCATGAACCAAATGAGGCCCAAGAGAGCAACAATGCAGAAGGAAAATGCCTTGGACATGGTCTCTTTTTCTTCAAACCAAATGGATCTAGCTAGTACTTGAGTACGTAGGAGTCAAATGAAGAAATGTATGGGAGAGATATGAAAACAAAATGCTTTATTCATCCAAAATGATAATGAACACTTAAAGGATTATCAAGTCAGTTAAGGAAATGCACAAAGTGAAAGCAAATGCACTAAAGTCAAATAAGGATTATAAGTATAAAATAACGTTATTTCATTGATTGAACACCAAAATTACAAGAATTGTGAGCATGATGGTGAAAAGATCAAAACATCCTACTAAGAAAGAAAGGAGTTGCATCCAAAGTTGTGGCTTTTCAAAATAATTTTGTGGTTCTCTTAGCAAGGTTTTTCCCTTCGGGATGACCCAAGAAGTTGAAAGAGTTGCAACTAAATAAAGATTTGGCTATGAATGTATGAACTTGAAGTCCATGATATCATGAGAAGCTTCTATGTTAGGGATAACATTGACCTCTTCTTCCTCCATCAACTTAGAAGAAGTTGTACACCAAAATACTAGAGCCTCAATCTCTTATTGAACATGTTCTTCGGTCTAATTCTTCATATGGTGGCGACTACTTGCTTTAAAGCAGTATCGATAATCACATGCACTACTTTGGGTGTGCACCAACCTGACCTTAAACTCTATCTAGTTCTTCAGCCAACTCCACCCTTTCCAACTCTACCCTAAAGGTGGAATCCTCGTCTAGACCAAAGACTTCAGACTCGTTGCTTTTGATTGATTTCTCCTTCGTGTTTAAAGGGGACGTGAGCTTGCTATATCCCATTGAAGAGCCGTAAATTTCTTCTTCTTCTCAACAATGTTGCCTTCCATTTTCTCGTATAACTTCACCTTATACTAGAAGAATATTGTGTGAGAAAATTTCCCCACGAGAATATTCGATTGGAAAGATTCCCCTTTCTTCTTCGCCGCCTTCTTCTCCCTGCGAAATAGAACCAATAAGAGGACCAGACTCGGGGGGTGTTGGCCAAATGCCCTCCGAGGCCTAAATTAATTCCATTGAATCGTATAGAAAACAATAGCTAATAGGGTACGGAGATGTGTTTATGGTGTAAACCGGGTGGCCGGAGCCTTATGTAAAAGACAAAGAGAAAGGAGGTGGCTAGGGTTTGAGAGGAATTTTCTGCAGAGTTTCAGTAGGGATTTCAGACGTACCTCTACCCTTGTGTGTGGCTATGCTTTTATAGTGGTCTTGGATGCTAGGGTTTCAGAGGAATAATTCCGTATATGGAAGAGAATTATTCCTCTCATTTTTGGAATTGATTTGATTAATTAGGGCAAATCAAATCCTAATTCAATTAGGTAACTCCTCATTTAATTGGGAATCGTGGTAATTAATCAAATCAATTCTCAACCCAATTAGGTAATGTTCAATTTAATTGGGTAATCCCCAATTAAATTGAGTAACTCCCAATCAGGTTGATTAATTCCCAATTAGGTCAAATAATCCCCAAATGGAATGAATTATTTGACCTAGGGTTTTGATTTAATTTGGTTACCACAAATGCCCCCCAGCTTCGGCATGACGCGTGGTGGCATGTAGGAGATGTGTATTATTCGTTGGGTTGTCCAGCTACAACTGGGCTTCCTTCGCGGACCTGGGCTCCCGAGTAGAGGAGGTGTGTGACTTGTCAATTCTATGAACTCCCAAGTTGGAAAGGGTTAGCGATTCCTTGTAGGTCAAGGAATTTTGATCCTTATAAATGTAGGGCTCCTCCAATTTATTCTTCACATAAAAAATCCATCCCTTCAACTTCATTAGTGAGAGAGAGAAAACTTTGGGAAGTCTGCCCAAACCACTTGAGTCTTTGTACTTGCCGCACATCCAAGGTAATTAGCTTGGGAGAAATTTTTTTTTGTGTCTTTGACTTTTGGCAGCTTGGACCATGCCTTCCAATCGATGAGGGGAGCTGCAAAGAGTGCGTGATTATGCCTTGAAGCATGGCTGGAGACGTTGGGAGGCTGGCAGGCTTGAGGCTACATGCCTTGGGCTCGAGCATGGAGGTTTAGAGGCTGGTAGGCTCGAGTAGGCGTACGCTGGGCTTCGAACTGGAGGTTTGGAGGCTCCAGGCCTGGTGCGCTAAGTGGGCTAACGCTAGGAGAGGCGTAGCTAGGCTTTGGCGCAACGTGGACTCGAGCTGGGCCTTCGCATGGGATGCAGGTTGCACATGCTAATGTTTGGAGCAAGTGGGCCAGGCGGAAGGAGTGGGCTTCGTGCGCTACACGAGCCTGGGAGCGTTGGGATGGAGTCGGCGGGCCTGGCAGACGCGTGCTGGGCTGGAGGCGCGAGCTGGGCCGCGACTGCTGCTGGGCTAACTCCTTTCGACTTGGGGCTGATCCAAGCTTAAATTCTTTTTTTTTTTTTGAACTTGCAGATTTTTATGGTATTCTAATTTGTAGAATTTCTTCTTTTTTGCAACTACTCGTTAACGAACCATGTCTTCTGGGGATGATAGCAAGGCTCCAAGCTCCCAGGCACCTTTGTATTTATGGGGAGGCTCCCTAGTGCCCAGTAAGAAGTTCGTGGCCAACCTGCACCGTGTCACGACCGATGCTCAGTTCCAGAAGTGGTGAGCTGCTTTCACGTTTGCCATTCCAGATGACGTGCAAGTCAAGCTACTAAAGTCTCAGACTGATAACGAGCCTCTGGTGGATGCGAATGATCCTGGCACTAGGATCATTACCTTTCATCCTTTTTTATTTCTCCTTGGGCTTCAAATTCCCGCTGTCGAAGCTCTTTAAGGAGGTGTTCTGCGCCATGGAGTGTGCTCCGAGCAAGTGTACCCCCAATGTTTACTGGGCAATCATGTGCTTCGAGAATTTAAGTCGTTTCTTCACGTTGGAGCTAACGGTGCGAGAGTTCTTTTATTTTTTCAAAGTGAGGCACTTCAAGCGGTATGCCTAAGTTCGCGTCTACAAGACCAAGTTGTTCGATGGTCTTAGTCAAGGAGATCACACTTGGCATGATGACGTGCTGTAAGTCAGCGGACGGTGGGAGGGCGACGTTAGTGATGGCCTACTTGTTCCCACTACCTATTGTTATGGTATGTCCTTTTGCGATTTTTGATATGCTCATTTTTATTTGAATTTCTTGAAGTGTGGCTGACTAACTTCTGTCTTCTACTTATAGTGAGTGACATCAACAAGCAATTGGAGCTTGGACTGGACATGGCTAAGGTCCGCTGTGCTTTGAACATCCTTCTAAAGTTTCGCGAGTGGCGTTGGCTGTTGAGCGAGTACCGAGAGGTAGACGGTGGTCTGCCCCTTGCCGAGGATGTTGAAAGGTGGAAGCAGAACGGCCTTGATCCTGACGATCTGCTTGCCGGACAGGAAGAGTGTTTTACTAAATCTCCCCCAAAGAGAAAGGCGGTTGGCAAATCTTCAAGGGGTGAAGCTACTTCTTCGCACACAAAGAATAGGTCTCCATCGAGGAAGAAGCCAAGGCTCCCTTCTGCTGAGAAGACTCAAGTGGGGTATGCTCCATCATCATCTGCCATGGTCAAGCATACGCTCGAGAACCATGATGTGCTTCGTGAGGCAGCTCGTGCCCAACCTAAGTCTGCCGAGTGTCAAAGAGATGTAGACATTCCTCCTCGAAGTTCGAGTCATCTGCACCGGTCAAAAGATAGAGATTGAAGCGGGAAGTCTGCTCATGATCCAGTTGTTGAGTCACAGGCAGTTAAGCGTGGAGTTGATTCAGTATCATTGACTCCTTTGGAGATAAGGTTGGCAGAGGCTAAGAGGATGAGAGAGTCATATGCCCAGGCTAAGTGTTCTTCTCCAGCATTGGCAGTTGATCCCAAGGCGAACAAGTTTAGCTCTGCAGGGGATGCATGCGTGTCTGATATGCTCAAGACGAACTTCCTATCAAACCCGTCTTCCTGTGCTGAGTTGGTTGATCATATCCGTCAGGCCGGCGATCTTGGCACTTTCTCGAGCCTTTCCTTGGAAAAACAAAGGGAATCAACATTCCATCTGATTAAAAAGGATTGGTTTTTGCTGCTGAGACTATCCAGAACTCATCTACTGTTGCCCCCTCTTCTGCCTAGCTTAGAGAGTTGGAGAAGAAGAACGCTGAATTAGCCAACCAGCTTTCCACTGAGCAAGCCCGTTATGAAAAGAAGACGTCTGATTTGAGGGCGATGATATAGGAGCTGAAAAGCTCCTTTATTGAGAAGGATTCTGAGCTCAACTCTCTTGTCGCTGATTTGGTTAGTCGAAAAGATGCCTTCCTTTGTCTTGAGCGTAAGAATGCTGACATCTCCCTTAGCTATGACAAACTTCTGGCTAGATTTCATGCATACCACAAGTTCGCAGAAAAATCCAAGTCTGAAGCCATCATAGATGCGTACAAGTTGGGGTACCTACACTGCGCAGATGAAACTACTCCCTTGTACCTACTCTGCCCCGACTCACCCCCTGTGGAAGGAGGAGCTGAAGAGCAGGCAGCCGGAGAGGATGAAGCCGAGGAGGACGCAGTAGATGAGATGATGAAGGCGTAGCTGATCAGGCGGAGGCCGAAGAGGCTGCAGCTCAGAGGTCTTCTGCTGGCGTCCCAGAGTAGATGAAGACTTCTTTGTTTCTTTTTAGCTTTGTAGTTTACTTTCTTGCTTAGAATAATTGGTCTTATTTGACCATTTTCTCTTTGTTGAACTTGGCCGATTGGTCAGCTTGTTATGAAAATTTAAGTTTATTTTTCACTTCAATTTGCGTATTAATTTGTGAACTGCTTCAGTAACCAGCCTGCGTCTTGATTGCACATCTCCTTTTGGTGATTCATGAGTGCCAGGGTCCCATTTAGAGGACTCCGACGTGTTCTGCACATCCCGTAGGATGCCTTGGTCGTCGCCATGCGTCTTCCGAAGGACGTTGCTTATGGGTAACTATGTGACTATCCTGTCTCTCTTAAGAAACAAATAGGAACCTGGATACTTCCCGCAGAAGGCATGGAGACCTCCTTTAAAGAAATTCCTTACGCATCCTGCGTCTCTCTTAGGACGCTTTTTATGGGCTGCTTCTCCCCGAATAACGCTTCTGGTCATCACCCGGCTTCTCCCTTAGGACACCTTATGGGCAACTGTGTGACTATCCTGCCTCCCTTAGGAAATGGATAGGAACCTGGATACTTCCCGTAGGAGGCATGGGGACCTCCTTTTAAGAAATTCCTGACACATCCTAAGTCTCCCTTAGGATGCTTTTTATGGGTTGCGTCTCCCGAAGGACGCTTTTGGTCGTCGACATGCGTCTCCCTTAAGACGCTGCTTATGGGCAACTGTATGACTATCTGTCCCCCTTAGGGAACGGATAGGAACCTGGATACCTCCCTTAGGAAATTCTTGGCGCACCCTGCATCTTCATTAGGACGTTGTTTATGAGCAACTGTTGTGTTTTGTAGGCAGATAAGACATTTTGGAATGAGAAACTAAACTTATATGGATATTCATAAGATTACAGTCCTGTATTCGAAAATGAAAATAACTGAGTACAAAAACTTGGAACTTCTAGCAGTCATGAGGAAGCATTATGGATAATACTTCCGGAGATGGTGAGCATTCCATTGTCGTGGTATTTGCTTCCCATCTATGGTGTCTAATGTGTAGCTTCCTTTGCCCCCGGACCGGCTGATCACATAAGGGCTTTCCCAGTTGGGATTCATCTTTTTTAACCCGTGTCTTGGTGCGGTGATGAAAGTCTTTCTTAGCACGAGGTCGCCTGGTTGGAACTGTCTCACCTTAACTCTTTTGTTGTAGTAAGACTTCAACTGCTGCTGGTAGGAGGTGACTCGGATAATAGTTTTCTCACGTTCGCCCGCAAATAGGTCAAGGTTGAGCTTCATCTACTCGGAGTTTTGATCAACACTGCCCACCTCAAGGCTTATGGAGGGGACTGTGATGTGAGGAGAGATGATCGCTTCCGTCCCATAGGCGAGGGAGAATGAGGTTTTGCCAGTCGACATTCGTTTGGTGGTGCGATAAGCCCATAGTACTTCGGGGAGTTCGTTCACCCATTTCCCTTCGGCGCCTTCTAGTCTTTTCTTCAAGCAGTCCAATATGACTTTGTTGGATGCCTCTGCTTGCTAATTGCCTTGTGTATACCTCGGAGTGGACAGGTGTTGCTTGATCTTGTATTTCGCAAAGAAGGCGGTAATCTGCTTGCCAATGAATTGTGAGCCATTGTCAGTGACTAGCGACTGTGGGCGGCCAAATCGGCAGATGATGTTTCTCCAGATGAATCGCTCCACATCGGCTTCTTTAGTAAAGGATAGAGCTTCGGCCCCGATCCATTTAGTAAAATAGTCGGTGGCGACGATCATCATTTCTTTCTTGGCGGGTGCTGGTGGCAAGGGACCCACTAAGTCAATGGCCCATTGCATGAATGGCCATGGACTGTTTTGCGGATGGTAAACTTCGGCAGACAAATTAGGGATCGGCTCGTATCGCTGGAACGATCACACTTTTTGACATATTCAACGGAGTCATGGGGCATGGTAGGCTAGAAGTAATCTATGTTTATAGCCTTCTGGGCGAGTGATTTGCCCCTAGAGTGGTTGCCACACTCGCTGTCGTGAATTTTGCTGAGGACCTCAAGTGTTTGAGGGTACTTTATGCATGTGAGATGAGGGTCGGAGTATGATCTGCGGATGAGCTTGTCATCGTGCATTTAGTATCTCGTAGCCTTCTGCTGGACCTTCCTAACTTCGGACTTGTCTGTTGGCAGGTTTCCATTCACTAAGTAGTCGATGATGGGGTCTTGCCAGCTGGGGTCCTCGTCAATTTGCATTGTGTCTATTGGCTCTACTTCTTCAATGCTTGGTCGAAAAGCCAAGCGTGATAGCCATGTATTCACTTGATGCTTGATTTGTGATCAGCTGGGAATCTGAGTAGATGACTAGCTTTTTGATTACTAGCTCCTTTGCCAAGCGCAGGCCGACGAGCAATGCCTCGTATTCTGCCTCGTTGTTTGAGGCCGGAAAGCCAAGCGTGATAGCTTGCTCTAACAAGGTTCCATCCGGGGTGATGATGACAACACCTGCTCCAGCTCCTTTTGGTTTGACGCTCCGTCTACCTGCAATTGCCACATGTCTCTAGGTTGGCTAGGTTTAGTGGAGGTCCCGTATGCTTTTGAACTTTCCTTCTTTTTATTGACCAATTTATCTTCTTCGGCCGATGGGGTGAACTCTGCTACGAAGTCTGCTAAAGCCTGGGCTTTTATTGCAGCTTTTGGCCGGTAGAGGAGGTCATATTGGCTAAGCTCTATAGCCCACTTCATTAGTCGCTGAGAAGCGTCAGGGCTGTGGAGGATTGATCTCAAAGGAAAGTCGGTCATGACGATGACTCGATGAGCTTGGTAGTAGGGTCGCAGCTTTATCCAATTTTGGGTAGCAAGTTTCTGTATCGAGGAGAGCTTTTGACGTGTAGAATACCGGATGTTGGGCCCCCAGCTCTTCTCGGATGAGAGCTGAGCTGACGGTTGAGTTGGACACTGCCAGGTACACGAACAAATCTTCACCTGGAACGGGCTTTAAGAGCAGGGGAGGTGAAGTGAGGTAAGTCTTCAGATTCTGGAAAGCTACTTCGCACTCTTCATCCCATTTGTCTCTCTGTCATTTCTTCAAAGCTTTGAAGAATGGTCTGCACTTGTTAGTAGATCTCGAGAGGAATCGGTTGAGGGCCGCTGCTCTTCCCGTCAGACTTTGTATTTCCTTCACTGTGGAAGGCGACTTCATCTCGAGAATGGCTTTGATTTGACGTGGGTGTGCCTCTATACCTCTTTGTGTGACAAGTATCCCAAGAATCGGCCGGAAGATACACCAAACGTGCATATACTTGGATTCAACTTAATGTGATACTGGCAGAGCAGGGTGAATACCTTGGCGAGGTTTTTGAGGTGATCTGCACTTTTTGGGGCCTTGACCAGCATGTCGTCCACGTATACCTCTATAGCTTTGCCGATCTGCTCTTTGAAGATTTTATTCACGAGCCTTTGATAGGTTGCTTCGGCGTTCTTCAACCCAAAGGGCATAACCTTGTAGCAGTAGGTCCCTCTCTCGATAATGAAAGAAGTTTTCGCCTTGTCATCCTCGTGCATCAAGATTTGGTGATAGCCGGAGTAAGCGTCAATAAGCTGAGCAGCTGATTGCCAGAAGTGGAATCCACGAGTTGGTCGATCCTCAGCAATGGGAAGTTATCTTTTGGGCATGCTTTGTTGAGGTCAATGTAATCAACGCAGACTCTTCACTTGCCCTTATCTTGTTTTGCCACCAGAACAACGTTGGCAAGCCACTCTGAGTAGGAGACCTCTTCGATGAAGCCGGTAGCTAGGAGTTTGTCAATCTCAGCTTCGATGATAATGACTCGCTCGGGTGCGAAGTTGCGTCTCTTCTGCGCCCCTGGCTTGCAGGCAGGGTTAACATGGAGTCAGTGACAGATGATTTTGGGGTCGATACTAGTCATGTCTGACGGCAACCATGCGAACACATCTTTGTTGTTTTTTAAGAAGGTGGTAAGCTCCACCTTCTCGTATGGGCTTAGGCGTGAGTTGATCCGCGCTTTTTTGTCTGGCTGGTCAGGATTCAAGGGTATTATTAACTCAACGTCTTCCTCGGGTTTCCATCTTTCTTCAGGAGAGACCTCTGGACAGATTTCCTCAGCTTGGTCCTGACGCTTTGATTGCTATAAGAGAGCAAGATTTGGTTGTTCAACCTCCTTCAGATATGCCTGGCTCATAGGGAGGAATTGCGCTTGTTTGTTTTTCTTCAGCCCTTGGGCGGAGCATTTCCTCGCCATTGCCTAATCGCTGTTGATTTGGCGGACTTCGCCCCCAGAGATTGGGTACCGGATTTTCTGATGTGTGGCAGAGGTGATGGCGTTGATCTTACCGATCCATGGTCTGCCCAGAATGTCGTTGTAGGGTAAGACTTCATCAATGACCATGAATGTTTGCAAGCTGACTACGGGTGGGGAGTAGACATCGAGGTCTATCGTGCCCACGGTAACCGTTGTTGCACCATTAAAGCCGGTTAGTGATCTTGTTGATTTGTTGATCTTTGTCTCTAAGCCCATCTGATGGATGACCGCCAGTTGTAGGATATTGGCTGTGCTGCCCTCGTCTGCATAGATTCGGTCGACCATGGCTTGAGCGATTTGAATGCTGATGACAAGGGCGTCATTATGTGGCATGTCGAGACCGATCATATCTTTCTTTTGAAAGCCGATTACCGGATCGTCTTCTGCTGGTAGAAGGTCAGTCTAGACTTGGGAGATCATGGTGGCATGTTTGATCTTCTTCTTATTTTCCTTGCTGGTCAGCCCTGACTCCTTGGCATCGGCTAGGATTGTGTTAATCCTTATGACCTTACGGGGCGGCTCCTTGGCGGTGTCTCGATCTTCAATCCGCTGGATGGCCTGCTTCGCGATGAATTCCGTGCAGTGACCTTCTCTCACGAATTCTTCAATGTGCGTTTTCTAAGCGAAGCAGTTGTTCGTAGTTTGTCCGTGCGTCCTGTGGAAGGCATAATATTTGCTAGTATCCCTCTTGTTTGGATCTCCTTTCAAGGGTGGCAGCCTTCTTACCCAAGGTTTGTCTTTCACTTGGGCTAAGATTTGGTGTATGGGGATGGTGAACTTGGTGTAGTCCTCTCCTACCTTAGCGTCCCCTTGTGGGTGTGACATGCACTTGTCCTTGTTTTTGTTGCTAAATCCATTGCTTCTTTGGCTTGCCCGTTTAGTCGATTGATCTTCCTGCTCTGTAGACTTCTTTGCTGTGATTCGATCATCATCCCAGAGCGCGTAGCGTTCCGCGGTGACATAGACCTCTGCCAGAGTCTAGCTGGGAGTGATAGTCAGCTCGCGATACAGGTCGTGTTCAGCTGGAAGACCTTTCTTGAAGGCAGATGATGTGATTCGATCGTCACATCCTACAATGTTGGCCTTTTCTGCTTTGAATCTCTTAATATAATCTCGAAGGGATTCGTCGGAATTCTTACGCAAGTTATACAGGTGGTTAGGGTTCTTCTTGATTGTCCGGTAAGAGGTGTATTCTTTGGTGAAAACGTAGGCCAGCTCCTTGAAGCTGCTGATCAACCCGGATGGTAGGGTGTGAAACCAGTCTTGGTTGCTCCCCGCAAGGTCATTACAAACACCTTGCACATTAGCGCGTCGTCGGTCTTGTGGAGGATCATGACACTTTTGAAGTGTTTTAGGTGGCTATTGGGATCAGAATCCCTTTTGAAGTGTGTGAACGAGGGTGTTGAGAATCGCTTCGGAGGAGCAGCTTGCTCGATTTTGGCAGTGAAAGGAGTAGAATTCGCCTGATCCATCTCTTTACGTAGTGCGTCTTCAAAGTTCCCGCTGGTCTTCAAGTCTCGAAGTCGGTCGTTCACAAGCTTCTCAACGTCTTCCGCACACATCACTGGTCAATCATGTTGGCGACCTTCACGATTTGGGCGATGCTGATTGACCTCCTCGTTAATCTGCGAGGGTCGACCTTCTCACCTGCGCTGCCTAGGCGGCGTGTTGGTGGACTGCGCCTGCGAAGGATTTTTTGTAGCTTGTCGACGAGAATCAACTCTTCGAGAGTGAGTAGCAGAGCGCCTTTCCTCATAGTCCTCATTGTGAGGGTTGTCCAGCTGACCACCCTGGGGGCCTAGCCTTTCATGAATGCTCCTCTGTGAGTGGACAGCTGGGCGCCTTTCTTCATGATCCTCGCTGCAATGGTTGCCTGGCTGACCTCCTTGGAGGCCTAGCCTTTTATGTATATTTCCTTGTGGGTCCAAGCGGGTGCGGATGTCAAGTTGTGGCCCCAGCCTTTCGCGCACGTTGTTCCTTAAGCTTGATCTGCTCTGAGTGTAGCTTGCAGATGCTTGCGACATGTCGGCAGGCCGATCACGTTGTTGTCCCTCGCCTTGTCTGCTCACTCCTGCTCGACCTGCTTGATACCCGTCGAGCTCCCTACCGGTGCGGTCGTCCATCCTTCTCTCTTCGCCCAGTTGTCCAAGGCCAAGGTTTTGAGCCAAGCTTATTTGGTTGAGGAGTTGCCTCATCAGATTGCTTTGGTCATCCATTCTCTGACCTAGCTCGTCAACTCTCAGACTGAGGTCTGCTTGATTTCGTGGATCTGGATGAGAGAAGTGCGTGGAGCCCAATTGCACACGGGCTAGGGTTTCATTGGAGGTGTATGCGGGAGCGTGCGTCGAACGTGAAGGCAATGGAGGGAACGCTTGAAGTTGCTCCAAGACCGGGCCTAAGTCGGTGGTAGTAATGAGCCCACCTTGATGGGAGGTTCCACCATGTTCGGCGGCGGCGGCCGGTGCGGTGGTGAGAGGTGGTGGTGCCACCATGTCGATCGCGGGATCGTGGGTGGAAGGGCTTTGGGCCGTCGTGGATTTAGCCATCGTGGCAGCTTTGCCTCTCGTCTTCTTGCTTCCAACCATGGTTGTTTGGAAGGCTTCGGTGGATTGGAAAATAGGAGGAACGGATTCCTTGAGAACGAGTTGAGTATAACTCGTGCTCTCAATGAAAGCACCAATTTGTGTGAGCAAATTTCCCCACGAGAATATTTGATTGGAAAGATTCCCCTTTCTTCTTCGCCACCTCCTTCTCCCTGCAAAATAGAACCAATAAGAGGACCACACCCGGGGGGTGTTGGCCAAAAGCCCTCCGATGCCTAAATTAGTTATATTGAATCGTATAGAAAAAAATAGCTAATAGGGTATAGATATGTGTTTATGGTGTAAACCGGGCGGCCAGAGCCTTATGTAAAAGAGAGAGAGAGAAAGGAGGTGGCTAGGGTTTGAGAGGAATTTTATGTAGAGTTTCAGTAGGTATTTCAGACGTACCTCTACCCTTGTGCGTGGCTATGCTTTTATAGTGGTCTTGGAGGCTAGGGTTTCAGAGGAATAATTTCGTAGATGGAAGGGAATTATTCTTTCTCTTTTTGGAATTGATTTGATTAATTAGAGATTTGATTTATTAGGGCAAATCAAATCCCTAATAGTGGTAGGTATCAAATTCAATTAGGTAACTCTCATTTAATTGGGAATCATGGTAATTAATCAAATCAATTCTCAACCCAATTAGGTAACGTTCAATTTAATTAGGTAATCCCCAATTAAATTGAGTAACTCCCAATCAGGTTGATTAATTCCCAATTAGGTCAAATAATCCCCAAATGAATGAATTATTTGACATAGAATTTTGATTTAATTTGGTTACCACAAATATCTAACCCCAAAATATTTCATGAGATTGAGTTGATTGAGCCTTACTCAAGTCAAGGCCATCAACTGCTACAAGGATCCTATCACCTCCCAATGGATTCGCGCCATCTAATAAATCAAAACCAAAGCTCGATGAACTTGTGCCACTTTTAATTGGCAAATAGTTGAGTGTAGATTAATGGACTCAAAACAAAAATGCCCATTAATACCCACATTTATAACTCACAGCCCAAGTGGTATAAAACCACCTAATTTATTTGGACTACATGTGGTTTGATCTCGAAAAAATTCTGTAGGTAATCTATAGTCAAATCTAAATGCAATTGTGACCCCAAACAAAATCTATGTTTCACCAAATTCAACCAAAACAGAATCCATGATTCACCTCAATCAAATTCGCCCCAAACACTTCAAATTACTATTTCCAATGATCCAAATTAAAATCACAAATAAACAATAAATCGAAAGAGTTTTCCCCTTATAATAGTGATTTACAATCTCCCTAAACTACGTGATTAAAGACAAATAGTTTGGAAACTATAACCTCTTTACAAACACTCAAGTGAGATACTCAAAAATTGGGAGCAAGAGAACAGAAACAAATTAATGAGGGCCCATCGCTGTCATGCTTTCCTGAGAGTCACTATCCTATCCACCTTTAAATAATACCAACCATAAGTAAACCCTCCTTTTCTTTTTCTTTCTTTTTTCTATTTCTTTCTTTTTTCCTTTTCTTTTCTTTTTCTTTTCTTTTTATTCATTTCTCTCTCTCTCTCTCTCTCTCTCTCTCTCTCTCTTCCCGATTCATCACCGATTTTTTAGTGCAAGCCGCGATCGAAGAAGTCACAGCCGCCGATTCGACGACCACCTAACACCTGGAGATCTCTACCTCTTGGATTTCCAACACTTTCAGGTAGTGCTGCTGACTCTTCTTCATTTCTCTTTGATCTGATTTTCCGTTTGTTTCGAAAGAAAGTGTGGCAAGTGAAAAGAAAATAAAGTTTGCTCCATGGTTTTTCTTGAAAAGTCAAGTTTAGCTCAATTATGCCTACAAATTGCGTTCTTCTCTTTTACATGAGAAGCTTCAGATTCATAATCTGAATTTCCTTTTCTTTGATCTTTTCATGTGCTGTCTTTGCAAGCAAACATAGCAATTCGGGAATTTAAATTGAGCTGATTTATACTTCTCTGTTTTTATTTTTTTTAAATTTCTATAATAGGAACTAATAAAATTATTTAACTGTTTATGATACTGATTTATATGAGGGTAATTAGTCACTGTTGGTTTCTTTTAATGACAGTAAATAAAAAAATTAACTGGAGTGCTGTGATGGCTAATGTATAACTGTTTCTTGTATTGTTTACTATTTTTAATAAGTTTGTAATAGTTTTCTTGGAGCTGCACTAAATTATGAGATGATTGATATATGCATACATCCTGAACTGCATGTATGCGATTTTTGGTATTGGTAATTCTCGATTTCCCAATAAATTAAACATCTTCTTAGGAAGACCTTGTTGATCGTTTTTATCTGAATTGAGTTCATATTAAAGCATCTTCATAGATTCAAGCATGATTCCGCTTATTCAACAGTTATAGTTCATAATTTCGCAACACGAGATGACTTTCTTGCAAGAGTAAATTTTCATGGGTATGTATGTATGTATGTATATGTATATTTATATGTATTTATGTATAATATACACATATATTTGGATGTATGTATCTATATATGTGTTTATGGTAATATTCTCAAACAATTTGTTGTATCAGAGTATGAAATTGTCAATTAGAATGACACATTCAGACATGATTCTATTTGATCAATGGTCTTGATTGATCATGTCGCCAGAAAACTTGTCAGTTGTCTTACAAGAGAACATTACTACAGACACGATCTTTCTTTAACCACATGCCATCATTTTTTTTAAAAGGGCCACCTCTTCATGTGGTCCAGTGATCCAAATAGCGGGTTCCGTTTGAAGGATCCCTGCAACAAATAAACAAAATAAATAAATTTTTTGAGTTATCTAGTTTTCATAAAAGAAGTATAGTAGTACAGTGTTTTTTACTAACTCATGACTGATTCTGATGATAATTAAATGACTTAAAGATTTCCAATTTTTTTGATCTGTTACAAGGATGATCTTTAATGGGAACTTAAAATGTGGACGATTCAGATCATCAGACCACAAGATTTGTGTATGTACATATAGCAATGCACTCCAGTGGTCCAAAATGTCTATTTTTGCCGTTTGATTATCATCACTATCAGTTCTGTGTTTATCCGAAACATAGTGTTCATCTATTTTTTTGGCCATAGTTAAATAACTCAATGGTGTACGATTTGAATGATTTTTTTTAGGAGGTATTTGAACATGGACCAAAAATTAATGGTTCATATCATTGGACCACATTACATGTATTTGAACATGTGATTTCCAGAAATTAGGACCCCTTCATTTAAGAGGCCTACTATATGTGTGTGTGCCCTTGTGTGTGGAAAACATTCTACTGCGGAAATACATTACTTACTTGGTCCGATGTATTATATTATGTTATATGTACAGTTTTTTAAAGCTGGGAACTGGATTAGTTGGTAGAATGCCAACAATGCAAATGCTGATACTTTGTCACTATTCTGCAGTGAGTTACTGGTGGATGGAAGTCAGGTGGCTTTGGTTCTTCTGAGGAGAGGCTAACTGTATGGAAAACACATTTTGATGACCAAATGAGCAGAACTGATGTTATTGGCAGTAGAAGGAGGAGGGTTCTTCTCATCTTCAGCTTCTGGGTATAGCAAAGGCCTGGCCCTTCTTCTCTTGGGTCAGAAGAACGAAGATAAACCCATGAGAGTTTCGCCGTGGAATCAGTACCAGTTGGTGGACCAAGAATCTGACACTGACCTCCAGCTGGCTTCCACAAAGGACCGACTTTCCCGCGGGTGCGCCTCCTTTGTCTGCTTTGGTCGCGCTTCCGCCGGGCTTGACACTCCATCTCCTCTTAAAGTGGGCCCTGCCCAACAGCAGGATATCTTGCCTGGGTCTCTAGTTTCTGATAAAGGCAAGGATCACACTGCTGACACTGACGATGATCATAATTCAATAAAAGTTGTTCTCAAAAGCAGCCTGAAGAAGCCATCAAAAAGAACTCCAGTTTCTGTTGAGAGTGCTAATGAACGTGAAGCATTGAGTGAAACATGTAGTGACACCCCTGATAATGCAGAAACGAGGAAAGTGCAGTGGACAGATACTTGCGGGAGTGAGCTTGTTGAGATCAGGGAATTTGAGCCCAGGTATTTAAAATTTTATGTTAAGTATTACATATCACAATTTCCTAAATTTATCTTTACTTGGGCCATTAGGCACATTTAGAGTCAACTATGTATTGACAACTGCAGGCTTTCCAGAAACTAAACCTCATTTCTGGGTTCTAGTTGGGTGTTTTCCCAACTACTGGAATATAACAGTTGAATCACTCTTAATGAACTTTGATATTCTGATGTTTAATGCATCTTTGACCTCGCACATATAATGTTTAAAGCGATATCAATGCGTATGTGAGAGGGTGAAATTTAGGGTGGTATTTAGATGGGTGTCCAATTAGTGAGTAGAAAGCTACAAGGTTGGATTTTCCTCAGGAGGATGAAGCAGAAGGGATGTGTTTGATTATGGTAAGGATATACCTCGATGGTAGTTTTTTAGTGTAGTTGGGAAGTGATCAAGGCCGATTTCATGACAATTTATAGAAGTTATTTATCAATGGGGTTGTTAGTGCTTGAACTAAGGCTACATGTATTTATTTGATCCCCATGAATCTCCAATATTGGCAAGTTAACGATTACAAACTTATAAGTTGGTTACAAAACTTTATAAGAATTCAGCAAAGGTGTTATGATTGAGCTTGTTGAAGTTTTTGACTGATAAGATTACTATGTCTCATGGGCCCTTTTTTTTTCAGCGCAGATAAATTTTGTGCTTAGTTTTAATTGTGATAAAGGGGTCCAAGAGTATCGAGAGAAAAAATAAAGAGGAAGGAGTCGATCTTTTGCTTGTAACCCCCCATTGGTGCATTATGTGCCAAGGCGAGTGGAGAGTGTTGGTCATATCCCTTTGCATGTCCTATGCAAGTTTGCGTTGGGTTGCTTCCAGCATTCATGGTGGTGTGGGTTTTGCCAAGAAATTTCTATTCCTTGATGGATGTGGCTTAGTTTTTGGGTTTAATGACAAGGCTGTTAGTCTTTGAAGATGTGCGGTTTTAGCCTACTTTTATATTGTTTGGATAGAAGTTGTTGGCTTGATAAGGTCCATTCTTTAATAACTTAGCTTTTGAGTTCCAGTGGTTATCTGATATGGTATCAGAGCTTTGGTTGTAGGAGCATATGGGATCTAAACATCCAATCCTGCATCCCCCATTTGCTTGTTAATTTGCAATGTATAGGGTGGTGCTTCTATAAGTCTACTTGTATCTACCTTGCAATGTGCAGAATAGGGCTGACGAGTGTTGGCTCGATATACATTATTGGCCTGTTTCTTAGCAACATATACTTTTGGGATATAGTGGTTGTCTAGCAGAAACAACAGAAATTTGAAGACTTAGACAAGGTGGCGGAAGTGGCTTTGTTATGGAAACAATTAGATTTTTAACATCTATGCAATGTCAAAGCTTTTTAGGGTCGTTAGCTTCTGCTAATCCATCTTGGTTGGTTGGGAGCTACAAGCTGATTGCTATTTCCTCGTGTTTCTGGTTTTTTTAATTTTGAGCTCTTATGAACATCTTGTTCAACTTTATCCGATAAAAGTACACGTTTCCCATAATAAGAAAATAATATTAAATTGGTGCCATTACCAGCTTCAGATACTTTTCAAGTATGCCAAAATAAATAACCAGCACTCAACTTCTAGGAAGAAAAATGAAAAACAAGCAACAAGGATTCACTACAATCAATGTGCTCTTGATTATACTTGTCGAATGCTTGTTTATTATTTCCTGTCTCATATTTTGATGGTTAAATTTTACATTGTATACGTTATTTATTATTTTGTAAGATGTTTTCTTGCATTCAGTGTGATGCAATAAGTACATATTTTTGTGTTTCTTTTCTCTTTCATTTTTCTTTTTCGTACTTCATTTAAATATCTTTCTGAGATGGAACCATGATCAAATTGGCAGTGAATTGGATGGATCAGATGATGAATTCGACAATGGGAATGAAAGAAGTTGTTCATGTGTGATTATGTAGTTTGGCTTTTACCTGATGATGATTTGAGCTTCACCTCTCTTTTAGATGCAATAATGCGTCAGGTAACTTACCGCTAACAGAGCTTGTTTGGTTGATTTACTTATTTCTGGAAGAAGAAAAGCGGTTTTTGAGTCCATGCAGAACACCACTGTAGCAAGGAGTACTGTTTCTCACTATGTTCGGCCAACTGAGCATTTATATCTATATCAGGTTGCTGTGGGTTTCAATTTTGTCACTCTGGGTTTGGGGACATTGTTTTGTTTGCTAGTCTCCTTCATGTGTGACTGCATTGTTCATTATTTTGTCGTAATTAATGTGTTTTTTTTTCTCCTTATGATTTGGATTTAATGAATTTTTAGTAGTTTCCTCTTCTCCTAAAACATTTGTAGAATGACTGATGTTGTGCCCCATAATCCAGAGAACTCACAAATCTGATGTTCTTTTAAATTGAAGATGCTTTGTGTGCTTTTTTATTTTTCTTTTTTCCTCCTTATAGTTTGGAATTAATGAGTTTTCAGTAATCTCTTCGTCTCCTAAAACCTTAGAAGAATTATGTTATTCCCCATTGTCCAGAGCAGTCACAAATTTTGTATTATTTTTGAGTGTTTGTGTGGTATGTATTGTAACGGTGTGATATAGAGGATTCGCTTACGGGTTTTACTTGTGGTGGCTTAGTTTGTGAACACTATCATGCGCAATTAAAAGTAAAACTGCTGCTGCTCATGTTTAACCTGTCAAACGAAACTGGGAGATTGATATGAAGTTCTTTACTTATGTATGAATTGAATATTGTATTGACTTGAAGTCTATAATACCGTTGTGTTGCACTGTCAGAGCTTCTAAAATTTATCCATATGTTGTAAAATGGGAATTCAAATCACTAGTTCGGCTCTTGTTTTAAGGACCAAATTGTTTATGTCGTAAATTCTTCCATTCTTTACTCTCTTTTTTATTTTATTTTTTTTTAATTTTATACAAGCGATATTGGGGGAGGGGAAAATTAAACTTAAGACCTCGGATGACCACTTGAGCTACGTGGTCCTTGCTCCACATCGTTCTTTTATTCCACTCTACTTCCTGCTTGTGGTAAGGTACGTGAGCCCTTTGTGAAAAAGAAGACTGTTTTGGCTAAATAATACGACAGCAGAAAGGAAGATGCACAGTACAATGCGTTGAATAGTAATCAATGTTTGAAAAGTTGAATATTAACAGTCAATCTCGCACTAATCAGTACCTGAAATAGTTGAAGACTGGACACACGATTGATAGTCTTTGAGATGTGTTTCAAAATGAGTTTTTCAAACAGCAATTTGTCCACAGTACGAATTTGTATTTTGTACTAAAGTCAATACGGTTGTAGTTATTGGATCGGCAAGTTCATCATTCTTTATTAGACTATAGATTTGCATCAAGTACGAATTTAGTAATGAGTTTATATCACAAAACATTCTAGAAGCTCGTTAAATTATCAGCTTTGGTATTTTATGTTTTCTTTTTCTGTCTGAGATGTTACTTCATGTTAACCCCATCACATCAAAAATGTATTTTGCCGTTTGATTTTGTGAAGGATTATGCTAGTTTGTTAGCATAGAAAACCAAAGCTGATAGTTTCGTGAACTTTATAAACGTTTTGTGATAAATATCCCTTAATTAATAGTTAATCGGACGTGCCCATCATAATCAATTACTTTGGCAAGCAAAGAAAAATTTCGGATAAAACAACATTTTATCCATAAATCAAAATAACTTTGTAACTTAAGTGGTTAAGAGTCTTAATTTGCACAGCTCTGTGTTCAAATCCCCACTCCTGCTTGAGAAAGGGAATGGACACGTGTCTGTCACATGCTTAAGAAGGCGTTAGGCGCCAAACTCAAGCCAGCCAACAACCCGACTTCTCTGCTTCACCCAGACCAACTGACTTTAGAATTAGAAGCCAGCCATCTCCTTTTGACTGCAACTTGGCCGCACCTTATCCACAAAACAGTTTAAGTCGATCGATTTGATGAGATAACACACATCAGACCCAAAATCGTCCAACAAAACCAAACAACAAAAATAAAGAAAAGTGAAAAATAAGAAAGAAAAAACAAGCCTCAGAAAGAAAGAGAGCAAGCAAAAAAGGAAAGAGAAACAAAAAAAATGTCAGTGGCATCTCCATTCCCTTGCATCAAAATCTCAACTTCATCATCTTCCCCGTCTTCTTCACATTCTTCTTCTTCTTCTAATCATCATTCTTTTAAGCTCTCTTCTTCAGCCAAGCCTTATTATGTAAAAACCATAAGGAGCTCTCAAACTGAAGGACCTATAAGAAGACCTGCAGCCCCTTCTCTTAGAGAACCCTCCCCACCTTCTTCTCCTGTCAAACCAACACCTCCTTCTCCTCAGGCCCCTACTCCGCCTCAGCAGCAGCCTTCGAAGCCAGCTCCGGTTTCCGGGCTGACCATGGTGGAGGATAATAAGAATGTGGTGACCTTGGAGTTTCAGAGGCAGAAGGCTAAGGAGATTCAGGAGTACTTCAAGCAGAAGAAGCTTGAAGCTGCCAATCAGGGCCCATTCTTTGGCTTTGTTGGGAAGAATGAGATTAGCAATGGAAGGTAATTCAAGCTTTGATATATGCTATTGAGAGAGTTTGGCTTTGAAGTTTGGCTTATCTGGGTTTTTGTAGTTTATTATGATTGTCTTGGTTTTGATTGGAATAGAATTATGCAATTGAAATTAATCTACAATTGGAGTGAACAATTTGGTAAACTGAAAATGGCTCAACTGTGAATTACCAAATCAGTAATTTTAGATAGCAAACCCTAAAAATCACATCCCCAAAAGGGCCAACCAAATCAGTAATCCTTTCCCTGAATGATTACTCATTTTGACTTCAAAAGTATGTAATTTTGATTTATCCCTCTTCTCTTTTTGGGACATAGGCCAGGGTTTGAATGCTGTAGGATAACTTTTTTAAGAACATTGAAATAACTTGGAAATTGAATTTTTGTGAAGTATAAAATAAGAAGAATTCATTATTTACCTGGATTCAAATGTTTGGGAATGGGAAGTATATTCAATTGATCAGCTTTCTGTGAATTGGTGTTTGACAACAGCTTCCAAGGAATGTACATTTTACTTGTCAACATTTCTAAGGAACCTTCACCTAAACAAAATCAATAACATATGCAACAGCCCTATGTAGGAGTAAAACTTCCATGTAACATGTTTCATATACCTTTCTCCCCTCAACTCTCTTTACTAGGCTCATTGATATTGAATCAATCGAACGCACCTCTAAGACTTGTTCCACTTTCGGAAGACCCTGCGTTTATCAGCAGATCTAGATTTTTCATATATAAATGTAACTAATGTATCTCCTTCGGAAAGGATTTCTCGATAATGCCCATGAACAGTTGCTCCTGGAGTGGCTAAATAGGGCTTCGCCGATCTTATTACTACAGAGTCAATTTGAACGATCATGTGATGAGAGATAGAGAGAAAGGTGTATGAAAATGGGATAGGCAGGTTTTTTTCCCTATGTAGAACCAACATGCTTTCCTAACTTGGCATTCAAATGAATTACAATGCTGATTTTTTCAACCTTATTTGATCCTCAACCAAACTACTTGGGTTTCCATGAACAGAAGAATTTTGTTTACCTATATTGGTCTATGTACTTGTCTGACATAATTTGGTTTCTTGATCTGGGATCTTCTTTCTTCTGTTATTTCCTTTTTCGGCTTTACAGATGGGCAATGTTCGGTTTTGCTGTTGGAATGCTAACAGAGTATGCAACTGGCTCAGACTTTGTTGATCAAGTAAAGATCCTTCTCTCAAATTTCGGAATACTAGATCTGGAATGATACACTGGCAGGATGTCAAAAACCATTAACTCTTTCCTGTTGCTGGAGCTTCTGTAGACACATTCAGTGTTTCCCTTGTAACTTTGTTGAGTAACTTTTTTAAATTTCGTTTGTGAGAAATACTTTATTGTCATAAGCTGTATTTTCACTATATTCTTTACCAAGATTTCAAGGATAGAAGTTTGTGAAGGCTCGTTCGATAACGTTTTTGTCTCTTGTTTTCTTTTTGTAAATTAAAGAGAGCAAAGATATGGGAGAAAGGAGAGAGGGAGATGAGAGATTAGAGAGATGCAGAAGAGAAGAGGGAGATTACAGGAGACTATAAAAAGAAATCCTCTATTGCCCCTTGTCCCATTTTCCTCTTCTGTTTTCTTCTCTATCCTTAAATAAAAAGCCACAGAAAACAAAAAACAATAACGTTATCAAACGAGCCTTGTACACTTTGATCAACTCTTTGTTATCAATCTCAATTTACATGTAAATTTGTCATTGGTGTTGGAGTGTTGAACTACAATTGCTAAATGAGTCCAGCTGAACTTGATTGTAATATGTTAGCAGTATAAACTGTGTTCTTATGTTCCCTAGCATTCTGTGTTTAGTTCTGGAGTGTAGACATTCTTTGTATTATCTACAAACTTGTTCTACTAGTATGTTACGGCTCGGAGCTGTTGAACTTGCATTCTCAAAATTTGATTTGTTGGCTTCCAAGAATTAAGTCGAATCCTGGGCACAGCAGAAGATGCTGAGTCTTGAGGAAGGTTCTTTTGTTCTTATAAATAATTCACTTCATGGGTTGTCAATACTCTCTCGGGCATAAATTAAGGGTTATTATTGTTGAAACAACAATTATCAATGACTGATTAAAACAATTATATAAACATAATTTATAACAATCTGTAACACAGAATATAGTATATAAACAATAAATAAAACTGACTTGAATTTGAGATAGAAGCTTGCAGATTTGATGCAATGTCCTAAAGACAGTAATTTCACCCCTTCTCGGTGCTTGAAGTTCTACAGGTGACTGCCTCTCAGGATTCAACTATCTGTATTCTAAGCCCTAGCACTCGGGTTGTTTGTTTTCCTCTCAGACAATATGAAATGCTTGTAAAATGCTTTTTTCTGTGTTGAACGTATGAGACCTTGTTTGATTTAAATAAACTTCTGAAACCTTATCAGAAGAGTCACAACTGTTAGAAAACAGTTAATAAAACTAATCCGAATTAATAAAAAATTATTAATTCGAAACCAAAAAATAATTTTAAATCTGAAAGTGCCCCAAGGCCCAAGGCCCATCTTTTTGACCATTAAATATTATATATTTTTATATAATATTCAAAGCCCAAATCGATTTTGAAGCCCAAATTGCTTCCACTTGGCCTACTTTCATTTACTAAGTGTGGCACTTCCACACTTATAAGGACCTCACTCTTTCTACTTTCTACCAATGTGGGACAAAGGTTCTTGAATTTAATTCAAACTTCCAACAATTATTGTTAAATTCAGAGAGACGGGTCAACGACCAACTACTAACAACATTGATATTGTCCCTAACTTAACCACCTACAAAACCTATTAGGTGGGGTTTTATCACAAAAGGCATCGGTCATATTAGTAGTGGAACCATTTATTATATATTTTATTTTATTTAGTCAAGTTTCTGACATGAGACTTATATTCTTCAATACACCCCCTCACGTGGGACCACCACATAGTGGGCTCCACGTGGAGCCAAGTCTACATTCGAATTAATCATTTACACCCAACACGTGAACACCACGTATTGGGTAAGTAATGAGTAAACATTCAAGCCCAACATGTGAACACCATATATTAGGTAAGGGTAAAGGCTCAATCCAAGTTCAGTGAATCAACCCGCTGTGATACCATGTTAAATTCAGATAGACGGCCCAGCTGCCCACTACTAATAATATTGATATTGTTTCCAACTTAACCACCTACAAAGCTCAGTAGGTGTGGGGTTTTATCATAAAAGGTCTCGATACAATTAGTAGTGGAACCATTCATTATATGTTATATTTTATTTTGTTAAGTTTTTTATGTGGGATTTTATTCTTTAACAATTATTTGGTTCGCGAGTCTATGGGTCATCAAGGAAAAGTCCTATTCGGTATGTGGCATGGGCTGGGTTGACTCGTTGTTTAGTGGGCTAAACTTGAGCTTGGATGTCTAAAGCCCAACTTGGTCCATAGGCCCAGCCCATGTGAGCCACATAAGACAGCCTAGATCACCCAAAAATGCCCAGCCCACATGCCCCCCCGGCCCATTTTATAGGCCTACTTGCTCTGACGTAAAATTATGGGTCACTATCTGGCTTGCGAGCCCATGAGTTGGTTGGGCCTGCCCAACCCATTGAAGAAAAGCCCGGCCTGTTATGAGCCATGGGCCTGACTAGCCCTTTGTTTAATGGGCTGAGCTTGACCTGGCCCGTTTGAGCCCACGAAAGCCAGCCCAGCCCACTTGGATTGAGTTGGGAATTAGGTTTTTTTTTTTTTTTTTTTTTTGTTTTTTTTTTTTGGTGTTGTTTTTTTTGTTGGGAATTGGGTTTAGTAACGGCTATTTTGACTTTTATCCCAACCATTAAAAAGAAGTGCATTAGGCAGAAACACGCTTATCTCTTAACCTCGCCGCTGTCGCTCATCTCTCCACACCACGCTCATCATCTTCTTCTACAATTTCAGCTTAACTCACTTGTCGAATTTTTGAGTCTTTGTACCTCCATCCATAACTTTGGCTGGGCAATTTCACCCAAAAAGGTTGGATATTTTTTTCTTTTTTCTTCCATTAATTTTGAGATGTTTGGACTGAAATGAGTAATCTGCCGTTTGACAGATTTTGTTTTGGTTGTGAAATCTAATACTTTATTATTTTTTTTCTCTACTTGTTGGGTTTAGTGCTGCAGCTGCTTCACCTATTTCTGTTCTTTTTATTTTCTCTTTCGTCGAACTGTTCTGTTTTGCTTTTGTTTTCGGAGACAACACTCAACCTCTTGGACAATTTCTTTGTGTTGTGATTAATTAATTGGGTAAATAGCTTGGGATGAGATATTTTTGAAACTTTCAAATTGCAGGCTTTGGTTTTAGATTTTGTCAGCTTGATATATACTGATTCTTTTTTTATTTTGTGGAATTTTGGCAGCCTCAGACAATCAAGATGGATAATGCTAGAGGGACAGTGAATGAACCTGCTAATGATTCCGCCACTCCACCCAACAATAAACCTGCAAGTGCACCCAGTTTAACAAGTAAAGTATGGTCTTATTTTAAAAGGGTTAATAAAATTGAAAATGGTAAACTAGTACTTAAAGCTGAATGTGTTATTTGTAATACTTTGTTTGCTGGTAGTCCTAGGAGTGGTACTAGTCATTTATCCCGTCATTTAAAAGAGCATGAAGCTGCACAAGCTAGGATTAGTCCAGGTCATGTATTATTAAATGCTGATGTTGCTGGAAATTTGACAAATTTTGCTTATGATCATGCTGTTGCTCGTAAAGAAGTTGTAGATTTTATTGTTAGAGCAGAACTGCCATTTAAATTTGTTGAAAGCCATGATTTTACAGGCATGATTCAGCGTGCATTTTGTCCCCAATATAGAGGAATTTCAGCTTCTACATGTAAGGGAGATGTGATAAAAAAATTTGGTAAAGAAAAGAGTGATTTGCATGCTCTTTTTGAAAAACTTGATTCGAAACTTTGTTTAACTTGTGAAGTTTGGTCATCACAGCAAAAAATGGGTTACATGTCACTTACTGCACATTTTATTGATAAAGACTGGTGTTTGAATAAAAGGGTAATTTGCTTTAAAATGATTGAGTACCCACACACCGGAGAGTCACTTGCAACTCATATATTTGATGAATTGTTATCTTGGCGCATTCACAACAAAATATTTACTCTATCATTAGATAATGCGTCAAATAATGATTCAGTTGCAAGTATACTTCCATCATCTCTCTTGCTTGATTATGTGCAACAAAAGTTGTTTCATGTACGTTGTTGTTGTCATATATTGAGCTTGATTGTGCAAGATGGACTGAAAGTTTTATCTCCGTCTATTGATAAAATTATTGATATTGTACGTAGCATGAATTCCTCTAACAAGGGACATGAAATTTGGGTAAAATGTTGTACTGATTTCAATATGCAAAAGATAAATATAGACAATGATGTGCCTCATAGGTGGAATTCCACCTATGAGCTTTTACTTTTAGCTATAAAGTATAAAGTCCCTTTGCATTGGTATGTTAAAGAGATAAATGAATCACTTTCTTGCAATTTACAAGTTCCTAATGAAGAAGATTGGAAAATAGCTCAACTTGTTAGTGGGTTTTTACAAATTTTTTATTCTTCAACAAAGATACTTTCTGGTGTGTATTACCCTACTTCGAGTCGTGTTATTAGTTGTTTAACAGATATTCATGCATCATTTGCTGCATATTCTAAATTTTCTGTTTTTAAGGATGCTTTGACTGAAATGAAAGCAAAATTTGATAAATATTGGGAAGAGTTTCCTACTGTGTTTTGCTTTGCTACTATTATGGACCCTAGATTTAAAGTATTTGCAATTGGTGAATGGTTAAATATGATAGGTATTGATCAGTTAACCATTGACTCAAAACTTTTAGCTTTAAAGACTTTGTTATTTCAATTCTTTGATGTCTACAAGAGGAGTGTAATGTCTCATGTGGGTCAAAATGTGCAGTCTGCAAATGTAACTTCTAGCACCTTGAGCCAAACTCCTGGTTCTATAGTTGTCCCTATTATGCAAAATTTCTCTATGCAATGTTTGAAAAGGGCAAAGCTATCATCTTCATCTTCTTCCACCACCAAATCTGAGTTAGAGGTTTACCTTGATGTACCAACAATAGATGTTGCTGACGATAACCAATTTAGTGTTTTGGGTTGGTGGAAAAAAAATCAATCATTATATCCTATTGTTTCTCTTATGGCTCGTGACTTGCTAACTATTCCAGCTTCTACTGTAGCATCAGAATCATGTTTTAGTGCAGGTGGTAAAGTTTTATCTGAGAAGTGGACCAATGTGAGTCCAAATACAATAGAAGCATTAATTTGCTTGAAAGATTGGGCCTTAGCAAATTCAAGGATGCAAGATCCAGCACAAGATGAGCAACGTGCAGAAGAATTAATGAACATTAGAGCATCAAGATCAGATTGGATGGCAGCTAGTGAAACGGTCGAGAGTGAATCGGAAAATGAGACAATTGAGAGTTGAATTGATGCGTAATAGGACACCCCCTTGACATGGCATATATGTGTTTGGAATGCTATGATTTTTATTGTAGTTCAGACTTTGATTTTTATTATTATCAAGTTTCAGACTTTGATTTTTACAAAGGATTGTTGTACGTTTCAGATTTTTGTAAGAATGGAATTCATCTTGCTAAATTAGTGGAAGTTCTCTCTCTCTCTCTCTCTCTCTCTCTCTCTCTCTCTCTCTCTCTCTCTCTCTTATATATGTAATTAAAAGAAATGGCAAACTATCAATGCTGCAAGTCTTGACGGACTTGTAAGTTGTAACCTCCAGACTCCAGTGATGAAACCCCACACATTTCCAATGTTCTGATAGCAAAGATGATAGATCAAATTGGTAAACAGGAATCACAGGTTTGCAGCACTGCATGATGCTTGTAGTCACCGACGATGAATGCTAAATTTGGTTAAGCAGGTTGAGTTAAACCTGTGATATACTTGATCCGGAACTACAAACATTGCACCTGCTATAGCACCATAATGTATACTCAGGCATAAAATTTCATTACTCAGAGGCACAATTATGACTATACTCTGGCAAAATTCATTAGCTTGATAAACAGACTAACAATAACAGTGAAATCTTGATACACAGATTGACAGATCATGACAGTAGAATTCAATGTACAAATTGATTCAAGGACCTTTGGTCTGTTTTTTGCCTGGCTAAAATGTAGTTCTACAGCATCATAAGAAGGAAAAAGGAAAATAAAATAAAAAACCATTTTCCAAACCTACCATTACTTGCAAGAAAACTCAACAGATCAGAGAATCAGCATATGCCCAACTATCTCTGTCTCACAGAAATATAGAGCATACAACTGAAAACTAATGATCTGATCATCCCTGACAATGACATTTACTTGAATATTGCATACATGAGAGTAACCAGAAACAGCGCACAAACAACACGCATTCCCTTCTGCAGATGAAGCATCTTTGCCTCAAGTCTTTCCACCCTAGCCTCCACTCGAGTTACCCTTGCTTCCAACATTGCCAGCCGGGCTCCCCACCTTGTCTCCGCTACATCTACACCTTCTGCAGTACTTTGTACATAATCTGCACTCTGAAGTGAATCCTCTTCCCAAGGTTGATAGTTACACATTTCAACAGACCAAAACTCCTGAACAACAGCCCAAAATTCTCCCAGTTAGAAACTTTAAAAGCTAGGTTTCCACCTGGGCAACCATCTTACCTCACACAAATTCAAAGCTATCAATGCTAAAGCAAGATAGCAAACAGTTGTGACTAGAATATGCACATAATAATTTCAATAAACTATGAACATAAAATTTTAAAAAGGACATGACCTTTAGGTAGTGATATATACATTCCACAGGGCCACATCCATGGTGCATCATATGAATGATTTACAACCAAGAAGGAATTTTCAGTAAACACCACAAAAGGTGGGTAGCTAAACCACCATGGCAACCTGACTAAAACTCACTAAAGCCATCCTTTTGGGTTCAATTACAGGTAGGGTTCTATTCAATATGAGCTAAACTCCATTCAGGAAAAATAAATGAAACCATGAACCCAAATTGTTTACATTTCACCGTTGCACCTCAAATTTAAATGAGAATAGAAGATGCTTCAATTAGCATTTATTTATTTATGTTAAACATCTTCTAGTAAACCCATTGCTCAAATGGGATAAGGGGCATCAAGCAGTTAAGTTTCAGCTTTCTGGGTTTTGGGATTTACAGACTTTCTCAGCTGCAATTCCATTTCACCTTCATTTGCGAAAGGCCCATATTTTCTACAAGCAAAACAAAATAAAATACAGTAAAACATACCTTCGAAGAAACCCAAAAGCGAACAGAAGAGAGCCTGTGGGGTTTTCTTGTTACAGCTGAGGCACAGTGTCCCCAATTATTTTCAGGTTTCTTACGAATCAAGATTTGAGAGTGGGAAAAATGGACAGACCCGATACCCAGATAGCAAATGGGTTTTGGCCGAGCCCCATATCAGATTGTACACAACAAATACATGATGATGTACCATATTACATTTAACCATTACATCTTTGTTGTCAATATTTTAATATTGACAATATCATTTGTAAAATAAAATTGTAACCAAAGAATTGGGGTTGGGTAAAGAAATATCAAAAGCACAGGGGTTTTAAACAAATAAATAAGTAGAACAGAGCATAGGCAAAATTGAAATATGACCTTGTCCAGGCCCTTACACGTAAACGGCAGAAGGACTATTTTTCTCCTCCAAACCGAGGCAGAGCGGCAAAGAGGGCTGTTCGCTTTGCGACGTTCACCCTGCATTTTTCTCACAGCCAGCAGAAAAACGACAACGCAATGGCGTCGTCTTCTTCTTCTTCGTCATCAGCCTACGACATACCATGGGTGGAGAAGTACAGGCCCAGCAATGTCGCCGACATTGTGGGCAACGAAGACGCCGTGTCTAGGCTCCAGGTCATCGCTCGCGACGGCAACATGCCCAACCTCATCTTGGCCGTACGTAGCTCTCTCACTCACTTGCGCACACAAACCCAACACATCCATTTCACTAAACCCTAAACCCTAAACCTTAGGGGAATATTCAATATATAATCTGATTGTGTCAAAGTTTTAGCATTTGTTGATTGGAAATTGTAAAATTTTGATAAAATTTTGAAATGTTTGAAAGAAGATTGGTAAAAGTTTGTTGTTTGTGCTCTCACATTCCATGGGTATTCATAGGTTTGAAATTGGGGAAAAGTTTGTTGCCTGCTCAGTAAGTGTGAACCGAGCTTATTAGAATTTGGATCAATTTAATGAACTTTTTATATTAATGCGTAGTGGAAGTGAAGTATATGCTAGAGGCAACTTCGGTGATTTTAAGAGCCTAGATCCACAGAAACTTGTGGCTGTGATATTTAACATGGGGATTGCTTACAAGAGAGGTTAAAGTGTTAAAACTTTTGTCTTATCTTGTTCGGGATTTCGAAAAATGAAAAGATTTCTTCATACTGAAAGCTGTTAGACTCGGTCGAGGGGGGTGTTTTGTGTTTAGGGTACTAAGTTGGAAGGTTTCAATTGCATCAAGTCACTGGACCTATGCTTCTACTGATCACTGTTTATTGTTTTCAGGGTCCTCCTGGAACTGGTAAGACCACTAGTATACTTGCTCTTGCGCATGAGCTCTTGGGACCAAATTATAAGGAGGCTGTTTTAGAGCTGAATGCATCAGACGACAGGTGAGTACATTTATAGTATTTATTGAATTCAATTTATAAAAAATATTGGTATTTATCATAAACTATTTATTGTTGCTTTCTTGTCTAGGGGAATAGATGTTGTGAGGAACAAAATTAAAATGTTTGCTCAAAAGAAAGTCACATTGCCTCCCGGGCGGCATAAAGTTGTCATCTTGGATGAAGCTGACAGGTAATCCTGATAATATTCTCCCATGAAAGTAATGTGCAACAAACTGCAAACTGCCCTTATCCATCTCCCTATGTGTTTTTACTTTTTGGTGCATGACTGTTCATTCTTTGGTATATTTCTTTCATCCCAAAACACATATATCTCTTTATTTTTTTATACAACATTCTTATTTACATTACTTTATCTAAATTAATTTTTGTTTTGGACGGTGGGTATTGGAAATTATTTGGCTGTGTATTGTACACAATTCAGTATGACATCTGGAGCACAACAAGCTTTGAGGCGGACAATGGAAATATATTCAAATTCCACTCGTTTTGCTCTTGCGTGCAATGTATCTTCCAAAATTATTGAGCCTATTCAGAGTAGATGTGCCCTTGTCCGATTTTCTAGATTATCTGATCAGGAGATACTTGGTCGCCTAATGATAGTGGTTCAAGCTGAAAAGGTAAAGAAATTTATTTACATTGTAATGTCTATTCTGCATACTGTCATCAATGAGCTTCAAAGGAATGATAATCACCGAATATATTGGTTCAACTTTACTTTACTATTAGGTTGGAAGAAATTTTTTTTATGTCGCCACTAGTTTATCAGACAGAGTATATTCTTTTATTCTCTGTCACATTCCAGCTTTTACATTTATTCAATTTTTTCTTTAATACTATCTGTTCAGCTTCATTTCTGTGCCCCACTACTGCTAGAGCCTGAAACGCCGACCTTGCTTAGCTATTTTTGTTTGTCAGAATGTTTTTTGTTTACTCAGTAAACTGATGTGTGTATATGGTCTCTTGATCCTTCCCTCTGTCGGTGTGTCACACTTTTTGCTCAACATGGTAACATGTCTTAATGCATGTGTTTGTGGTATCATGCCAAAAGAATGGAAGAAAAAATTTTGCAACTTCTGTTGGTTGTCTTTCTAAATTCTGTCAGTGCTTGCTCAGTAGTGATTATATAGGTTGATATTTCATTGGCCTCTTAATTGATGTCACCCCAAGAACTGAGGTTTGAGAAGATATTTGATACTTATGCCTTTAGATGAAGCTTAGATGAAGCTTAATAATGTATCTCTATGCTTGGGCTTAGAGGTTTTTATTTCCTAGGGATTCAACCTACTTTCCAAACCCTATGCCTAACGTATTGAGACTCGCTTTAATCTTGAGGCTTATGCCAAGTTATAGGTTATTAACAATGATAAAAATTCAAAAAGAAGTTGCTTCGCTAATCGACCGTTGCCGTGTATATAAACATTGTTTCGAAAACTTTAGTTTGTGTATAATTCATCTGTGTTTGTTATAAATGAAGGTTCCCTATGTTCCAGAAGGTCTTGAAGCCATTATTTTCACTGCTGATGGTGATATGAGGCAGGCACTGAATAACCTGCAAGCTACAAACAGTGGATTCCGGTTTGTCAACCAAGAAAATGTTTTCAAGGTCATATTTTTAATGAATGTCTTGATATGCTCATTTGTTTCGTATGTTATTTGGTAATTCTCTAAGATGTTTATTGTTTTTCAGGTCTGTGACCAGCCTCATCCATTGCACGTAAAGAATATGGTGTGCAATGTGCTTGAAGGGAAATTTGATGATGCTTGTTCAGGTCTCAAGCAGCTCTATGATTTGGGCTACTCCCCAACTGACATAATCACTACCTTTTTCCGTATCATAAAGAATTATGATATGGCTGAGTATTTGAAATTGGAATTCATGAAGGTATGTATGTACACTATTCGAAGATTTTTCTCTCATTCTCTGTGAGATCTTGTCGTTTGACAAGCCTTTACTTGTGCGAGTTTGCAGGAAACAGGTTTTGCTCACATGAGAATCTGTGACGGAGTTGGCTCCTACCTTCAGCTGTGTGGTCTTCTGGCTAAGCTTTCCCTAATTCGTGAGACGGCTAAAGCGACATAAAATGTTTTAACTACTGCTAGATATGTGATGTTTTATGGTGAATATCCTATTGTACTGCAGTTCATCCTTTGTTTTGTCAGGAGAAATGGATGGTCACTTTTAAGTGCAAGTTATTTGTGTTGTCTAAGCTCTCGAAATGGTTCTCTGTTGTAATATTTTATTTATTTTATTTATTAAATTTGATTCGCTGTGTCCACGTATCGCTGGACGAGCAGGGACCTGCCACGTGTCCCCACCGAACAGAGGGAGCTATCAGGTGCGGATGGGTGTGCTACCTTGCGGCCATTGGTTCAAAGCAAGTTGTGAAGCAGGGAACGGTTGGCTGCTTAATTCATGACTTTAGTTAATTGTTTTCGCAACTTGCATACGTAGGCCAACTCCATTCTATAGTGAGCGCCTTAATAAGGCCCTCAGAGGAGGTTTTTTCTCTTAATTGTCAGATTAAATTCGTTACATTGATCTAACTGTTAAGAGATAGGACCTCATCTAAAGTCCTCACTATAGAATTCCTGCTCTATCACCAGCATCACAAGCGAACGAATGGTTTCCTGGCTTGATTTAAGCCCAACCGTTGGATGCATCTTGTTCATTCTTGACTATATACCGCATGCCCACTCAATGTGACCAGCACCCACGTCAAAATATTATGAGTCTATCGTATCTTAACTATCTAACAAAGGAGATGTTCTTTGCCACTGCCAGAATCAATTAAAGAACACAATGCCCTTGATGTACTTATAGTCTCTTGCCCAAAAAAAAACAAAAAGATTAGCAAGTTTCTTATACAAGTCTAAACATAGTTAACCACTAAAAAAGTATCACGCATGTGCCAATTGGTTTTATTTTTTATTTTATTTTTAGAATTAAGAAAAGATAACATGGGTAGTTATGTTCCTTAAAAGTAGGACCTATTATTTGATTTTGTTTTTAATTTTAATTTTTTTAATATGAAAAAATGTGAATTTATCATATTATCCTCATTTAATTAATCATTTCAATTCTTAATTATGAATTAACCAAGGGCATTTACTGGTATTTTAAATGTTTCACCATTCTTTGCAGCTTGAGAATTGCAGCCTGCATCATATTTTTAGGGAGAAAAACGGTGTTTTAGATCAACTGGCTGCTTGGAGTTATAACTTAGATCTTGGCATCCGTGATGAGGCTCCAAGTTAGATTGGGACTTCTTTGGTGGATGATTTGTTATGGGGTGTCTAGGCCCTGCTTGATTTGTGTTGGTTAGTTTGTTTTGTTTGTTTGGGGCCTTCCCCCCAGTTCTCCAAAAAAAAAAAAACAAAAAAAAAAAAAAACCAAATCGGAGATTAATTCAAATCAGATTATTCAACCAGAACGTTGTTGCTTTTAGTATGTAAATACATTAGGCTGGTCAAGCAAGACAACGCTCTCTGTTAAAGCATCCATGACCTCATAAATCCATTGTCCTTCAATTCGAAGTCTCTTAACTTGCTTGGTCTTAGGGTTCACAGACCGATATGCACCGTCGTCATCCATCACTCTGAGAACAACTTCACCACTTTTTCTACAACCAATCAGTCTAGAAACGCCTAGATCCAGATCCAGGCATATTGCAAATCGTTTAGCCCATGATTTGGCCACACCATACTCTTCCATCACCCACATGTGAATGTGAAGAAGGCCCCAACCAACACTTCCTTTCCGCTCCCGAGAGGTTTCATAATATGCAAGGGACTCTCTGTACCTTGAAACCATGAAATGTCCTTGAGCAAGATGGTCAATTGTTTGTGCTGAAGCTTCTGGTGGTATTGCTATCTTGCCGAATACTTCATCGGACATATCAAATGACAGAAGTGAAATGTTCCCGGTGTGCGCTCTGGCTTGAGTCCAATGCAGAGCCCCATTGACAAAAGCAGGCGGATTACTAACAAAAAAGTGCCGGGGCCGGAGCATAATGTCACTTTCCTCAGGATCAGCAGCAGTATTGAGAGTCTTCCAAGAGCCCGTGGCTAACGACCAGATCTCATATTGACATTAGATAAATTTGTTTTCTCGAAAAGAAGACACTCTTCGTAAGACCTTATAGTCATTGGCACTCCTGTCGTAGCCAAAGCCACAGCTTGCTTCTAGATAATCATATTCATGGCAAAAGGTAACACCAGACTTGGGCAAAACCACAAACTTTCTGATGCTAGGGTTCCAAACTAATGCGGTAGAGTCAATGTCTTCCGCAGCAAGGCACACGAGACCCTTACAAGTTCCGACAAACTTGGATGCCAACCCTCCGTCGTAAAGATGGTACGGATTGTCAAGATTGGTATACTCTCTAAGCGTAGATGATGAACGGCCATCGTCGTTGTCGTCATCCTTGTACAATAAGTACATCCCATATTGAGGGTTGTGAAGGAGGAGTTGAACGTCTTCGTTTTGAATGAGATGCTGGGCGATGAAAGTAGAGCTAGCTTTTGATCATACAATTCCATGACTTACACACTGCCGTGAACCGAAGTAGAGATCTGACAGGCAACCTTAGCAAGATTTCGTATATGATATCTTTAGTAACCTTGTCCCCTACCATTGCTTCCATCAATCCAATTCTCTTCTCTAAGTGAAACAAAGTAGAGCAAATATTCAGTTACGCTCATATATTTATTTTTCTCCAATTTGGAACTATTCATATGGAAGTACAACCTTAAATACAATAGGAATAAATAAATTGGTAAGTAATCAAAAATCCTAACCAACTAAGGACTCGCTAAAAAATTATTTCAATAAAGGTTACCTAAAACTTTTGCTCTAAAAAGGCCATTGAAGAATTATGCAAAAGACATGACGGCTGTGAGTTTGGTTGGTATTTGGCTGAGCAATATTTGATACAAGCAAAGATGAAAAAAAAAAAAAAAAAAAAAGAAAAAAAATAAAAAGCCCCAAAACATAAAATCAAATCACAAACAGAAATAAATAAATAAATTAATAGGTTAACCACAAGCACGGTTCTCATCATAAGCGACACAAACTTTCACAATGATCACATGCATAACCAGTTTGAAAGAGGCAGCGATTATTACTACCAACTCCACCATGTCCACAAAGACAAGCACAAGCATGGGAGACGAAAGCATTCAAGTGTTATACAGAAAGTTGATGAAAATACCGGATACGGCCAGAAACAAGAAAGGAGACTAACAAAAGATTATTCATAGTGACCAGACCAGATCAGACACAATCAAGTGAAGCAAGGGTGAATTTGGTATGTTAATCTTCATGCTAAACAGAGAGAGTACTGGCACTTACAGTTTTATACTCTTTCAGTGAAATTTCTTTTCCTGTTTATATCTATTATCTTTGGGTGGTGGGGGAATCTAAATGTAAAGATCTGGGAGAGGTGGAGCCTATCGAGCGACGACGTTTTCATACCACGTTGTGTACTTAGAGTTAGAGAGGTGGAGCCTCTCGAGCGACGAGGTCGGCTGCTAAAACAGGTTTTGTAATATTGTTTATTTTTATGGGTTTGGATCTTAAGCAATAGTATTAAATGGGTTTTGGGTAGTGAAATGTTTGGGTGAAAAAGGCTATAGGCCTAAAAAAATATAAAGAATGAAAAAAGAAAGCCCAAAATCCTACACTGTCAATGAGGAACTATTAGAAATCAGTGTAGGTGCTTCAAATTGCCTTTCTTATCAAGCTAATGGTGGTGCACTCCATGTGTTTGACAGAACCAACGCAGTGTGCAAAATGTTTTTTGAAAAAATTCTGGCCAAAAAGACATCGTTTTGGGCCGGACAAAGAAAAAAGAGGAGGAAATCAAATTCATGCTCTTTCAACAAGGCTTGCATTTTGTGGGCTAAACAAGGGATTCTTTCTTAAAGCAATTCTTTCCGTGAGCTTTTTAAACAACAATTCTTTTTAAAAGGTAGTCATTTCGTGGGCTTTAAGCTATTATTTATTTAATTTTTTGGGTATGAGATTTTTAGAAATCTCATTGGCAACAATTGTAGGTTAATTGTAATTCTATTTTTTCATATGACTTATGAACGACATTGATATTGTTAAATTATAAGGATATTTGGTTGATAAATTTTTTATATAAAGCTTATATCCTTTCAAAATTGCAGCTCCGCTAATGTACACTGTATATATATTTATAATTTTCAATTTTTGTTTATTAAAAATTTGTTTTTGTTATTAAAAAAAATATATATTATATTTATTACTTTATATTTTTAATTGCCGTATCCATGATCTATCATATTCTAGTTTGAAGATTTGCCGTGTCGTATCATGTTGCAATATATTGGTGGTCTTCAGTCAAATGAATGGTTTATGGGCATGTATTGAATGTTCTGATGACACATGTTGGGAGAGGAGGGAACCTCTTGGTAGCATGTTGTTGGCTGCTCGCTCGTATGGATGGAGAAATATGACCTTGTGAAAGAAAGAAACGATGGTTATGGATGACATAAGACTGGTGCAACGGATTTATGTTTACCTGTAAACATTTGTGATAAGCTGTTCCAGGCATGTCCAAAGGAAAGGAGATCAATCAATCCTTGTATGAATGCAACAAAGTTGTCCCTTCAATTCTCCGAGGAATTTTTCGAATAATAGCTGATCAATCCTTGTACATGACCCCATGCAAGGAAGGAACCAACAATTTGCCTGCCAATAAAATCTCTATAAAGGTATTTGGGTACCAACTTTGAAACAAGTTTCCCTCTTGTTGGAACGCAAAGTAATTCAGATCCGGGTCTTCTATTTTTGATGAAACTGAAAGGAGGATTATCAGAAGAGGTGTTGGGAGTGAAGAACTGTAAGGTCTCCTCTAGAAATGGCAATCCCATTGAACCTGGTTGAAGTTTTGCCATGGCATTTGGAATTTCTTCACCTGTAAACCCAATGTGTCATGCTTTTAATAGCTAATGCTGCCCTGCACAGAACCCACATTTTTGCCATACTATCATTCCAAGTTCAGAGGAGATCTTTTACTAAAGAAAGAACTTTTATGTTAGAAGAGGAGAAGGAAGTAAGGCTGGCATGTCTCTGAAAACTCATTAGAATATGTTGGATATTCTATGAATTCCTTTACCTCTTCTCTTTTTCTGCTTCCACCTTTACATGGAGATAATTAAACATTGAGAAAGATCAAGGTAGAAGCATGAAACCTTTGTATTGTATGCCCATATTCATTTATTTATTTTTTTCTTTATTAAATTGCATAATACATTTCACAATAGTAGTTTGAACCCATGACACATTTATGGTGTGTTTACTAATCATGAATTGGAATTCTCATCATGAATTGAATTCCACCTATGGAGAATTCCTGTGTTTACTTCACATCAAAGATTTGAAAAGTAAGTGGGGCCTACACAAAATTAGGAATTGAATTCTTGATTTTGGAGAAATTCAATTCTTGAGTGGGAAGTGGTATTCTACTACCTGGAGAACTAATTCATTAGGAATTCATCTTTTTTACCCATTATATCCTCACACAATTTCCAAAATTCCAAATTTGCCATCTACTTTAACTCAACAACGAGGACATTTAGTAATTAGTATCACTTGTATCCCAATTCCATATGATTTAGTAAACAACTTCAATAGGAATCCGGAATCTTAACTCTCTTCAATCCATGGTTTAGGAAACTACTTCAATAGGAATACGAAATCTAATTTTCCTCAATCCAATTCCTCCTCAATTCAATTCATCCTCAATTCAATTCCTCATAATCTAATTATGGATTAGTAAACTTGTCATTAGAGGAATTCCAAATCCTAATACCCATCTCCAACCATATTGGGGCTAAACTCAAATTTTCACCCCTCCAAAATACAACTATTCATGTATTTTTAGTAAAACTGTTTTTTCCTCAAACCTTGCAGACTTATAATTTGAGTCCGCAATTTTATTGATATTATTTTTGTTTAAAACTTCGTGATTTAATTTTATGAACATTTTAACCTAAAAAAATTGAAATTTCATAAACATAATATTTTTTCACTTAAAATCAAGCTCAAATTGATTAAAACATTGGTTTATTATTATTATTGTTATTATTTTTATTAAGATGCAGCATTGGTTTAAAAAGCAAAAAGTGAACAAGCTTTTTCAAAGAGAGTTGTTGGCCTTTGATGTGAGCCTTCCATGTGTTGGAATGAAGGAGAGGAATGGTGGACAAAAATCTTTCAAGCAGACCCACTCTGCATTTCCTTCATGTGGCCTTGATTGCGGGCATGTTGGGCTCCACAAAAATTACCAGTCTAGGCAATATCCAAAGTGGAATTCTTGTCACAAAAAGAAAAAAGAAAAAAAAAAGAAAGTGGAATTCTGCCCAAGATATTGCATGTCCCAAATTTCTACAGCCCAAATACATGGTTGGAGATGGAATTTGGATTCAAATGTCAAAATTTCAGTTTCAGATGGTCTAATCAATCCAACTGTCCCCTATGGGACTATGTTGGTCTTTGTTTGTAGACAGACCATTTCTTATTATAGAAAATATTCCAACTGAGAGAAGGGCAAGCTTAATGTTCCATGTTTTCAAAATAAAAGCACATCTGAGTAGAAATTTCTTGATCAAGTATTATGTGAATGAAGTAATTTCTAACACTAACAATTGTGTTATATGTGTAACCAAAACTCATAACAGGAAGTAAAAATATGAAGAAAAAAAACAGAGATGGGAAAATGTAAATAGAGTGAGTGAGGAAAATAACCAAAATAAACAACTTAAACATTGTGAAACCAAATCTATTACAATAAACAGACGTGGTTAAACAAGTTACATGTGTGCTTGCGCCCTTATGTACAGTAACTTAGACAATCGCTTGTACATAAACAAGTCTAGTACAACAAATGTGTCGAATTGACTGAGGAATAATAATAAAAAAAAAAAAAAAATTTACAATTCTGATCACAATTGCAAATTGAGGAAATTAACCATGAAATCTCAATCAAATTCAACAATCTAGACCCACCAAATTGATCAAACCTTTCAAGAACAAAAACATGAACATGGACCCAATAAAGCCCAATATCATCCTTCTCCTTCAAGCCCCATTGAGAATGTAAAACTCGGCCGAACCCAAAAGCTTGAAATTCATTGTCACGTGGGTGTTTTACACGTGGCCTTGCCCTCCTCTTTACCTCCTCCGAGAGTTTCAAATCAGCGAGAAAGCCAAGAAAAGGAGCCAATGAAGACAAGGAGCTCTATTTTCTCCCGCACAGTACGCCTACAAATTGCCGTCCATGGACGGCCAAAATTCCCCATATTCGTCTGTACTCCCTTATCTCTCTGGCTTATTCTTTCTTCCTTTTTCCCTTCTTCTACTTCTTCTTGCTCGCTGCTTTGCGCTGCTCTGCTCCAACCCATTACTCAATCACCAGCTCAAAGAAAACCAAGACTGGTCTAGACCCACAAGCCAATGGGCTGTGTTCAGGCCAAGCCTCTCACGAATTCCACACCTGGGGGCTTAGAGAAGCTGAAACTGGAAAATGGGTATGTGGGAAATGGCGGGTTTAATGCTCACAGAAGATCAACAGGCCAACCACAAGGGGACTCTGTTAAGCAGCATAGGCAGGAACCCATAATTTCAAATGCTGAGCCTGGTAGTAGAAATGAAAAAGGAGGAGATGAATGGGTGGTGTTAACTGGTAGTGATGGAGATAAAGATGATGGGCATGTTTCTCATAAAGTTTCTGTTGATGAGGAGGAGCTGGTGGATGGGTGGCCTAAATGGCTCACTGATAATATTTCAAGAGAGATTTTGGCTGGCTTGGTTCCCAAGAGTGCTGACTCTTATGACAAGCTGGACAAGGTTTTATTTTCATACTCACTTTCAGATTTTTATGTTTTGATTTGGTGTGCATTTGGTTAGAATTATAATTTGTTATGTGGCAGTTGTCAAAAAGAATGAAAATGGTAATTGTCATGTTATATGGCTGCTTTTCTGTACTAATTGGAATTAATATTTTTCTGATGGTTTGCTACATGATATCTTGATTGGTTTTTGGATGTAATAACAAGTTAAGTATGCTGGACTACTGAAAATTTTGAGTGTTCTCTTGTTCAATTTGTGGGTGCCCATATTTCCAAGTCACTGAAAGTTTTAGATATAAAAT